CAGGTGAATACTTGAAATGTCAGTGTCATTGTGGGGTGGTGCTGGAGTAAGAGTAACAGGATCACAAAAGGAAAATGTATCATCAGAAAGTATTAAGTGTCTATACCAAACGTCCAATAGATATTCAGATAATGAAGTCTGCACCGAAGCAGTGGACCAGCCAACCAGCAGTGCCAAACAACCAGAGGTGCACCATCTTGGCAGAGTGGTGCACCTCTCCAGGTTCCCTCCTGCTAACCTGGCTCCAGGCTACCTTGTTTTGCAGCAAAGGCTCTGGAAAACATGACGACATGTAGGAACTGGGTTGGCACGTAGTTGGTGTGTTCCTGAGACCGGGTGGAGGTCCGGTGTGGAGCATTACCCGGCAGCAGGAAAGCCAAACAGTGAATGAAGCGTTGCGAAACAATGAAGTAATGGAGAGAGAGGCCGGGAGACCAAAACAAGGACAGAAAGTGAATGAGAGGTGACAATGTATAGAGGAAGAAGAGGAGGGGAGAGGTGAGGAAATAAGGCTCTGGTTTCTGTCCCAGGCATCACAATTATTGGACGCTGTTGTAATGAAACATGGCTCCTTTAATGTAAATGAATGTCAGTACTGCTGCTCTTAACAGTGATTTAAGCCATTCCCACATGGAATATTCCCCTGTGTTTGGTCTGAACACCCGCTGCCTGCTGAGTCTTTCCCAGGAAAAATCCTCCAAGCAGGAAGTTTGTCTCCAGCTGTAGTAACAGCAGTGTGTTTGGATGAAGAAAACTAAGAAGTTAATTGTTCATCATAACAGCAATCAGACAGTTTTATTTTTTACCAGAAAACCCAAACTGAGAACTCAAAGTACCACGCTTATTTGACGTTACAGGTGGGAAGTGCAGCATAAAACAACTCAGCAATGACTGACAACAGAGAATGTCACAGTATATATGCACACTCACACACTCCCAGCTGCAGTTTCTTTGTTTTTTGAACACATGTGTCAAACAATAGGTCACCAGAGCTCAGGGATGTATAGGTTCCAGTTACCACACTCACAAGGTCACATATGTACACATGGTTGTGTCAATAAATCACAATGATACCCAGAGGTGTAGGCCGGAGTCACATGACCTGTCCTGGAATCATGAATTCTTGATCCATTAATGGACTTTACCTTCTGCAAAGAAAATTAAAGTGTTGTGTAAATCAGATCAAATGGATGCACTTTGTCATATTGGCAAGCACAAGTAAAGTCGCAGGACACCATCACATTCAGACATGAGAAAAGTGCGTAAGGTTTAACTTTGCTCAGTTTAGACGATCCACTATATTTAACTTGTTCCTTTTTAATATCCTTAATTAAGTGAAGCACCACTGCACTTTATCCTCACAGCCTTTCACAAAGTCTACGAGGCAGGCCGTTATAGCCGATTCACTTCCACAAATCCTGAGTGTACCATTACTATTGGATAATATAGCCAGACCTGCTCTGATGTTTGCCTGTATGGGTGTGTCCTAATATCTAAGGTCCTGCTCTTCTGTACAGATGTTTCTACTCAACAATTAGGCCGGAGAGGGGAGCTCCAGGGCCATATAGCCTTTTTGGTTTGCAGCTTGTGTGTGTGTGTGTGTGTGTGTGTGTGTGTGTGTGTGGATATTTTTGGCGATTTGGCCTTTAACTTTCACTTTTGTTTGATGATCACCTTTTTTGTGTTTCTTTTCTTTCAAAGTTGATAGAAGCTTGCCCGTCTCCTTTAGTTTAATAATTATTAAGAAAAACTATTTTGTTAAATCCCCGTGGACATTTTAGGGCAAGTAACTCCCACTATCAAATTAATAAAAGCATCACGTTCACTTTAGCGTTTGTGTCTTTGTGTCTCACTATAGTAAATGCAGCTTTAAGGCAAATCAAACCTCAAGAGTGGAGAAAAGATGCTGACAGAACAACAACAGTGAGGGAAATATTCAAATGAAAATGGATGTGTTTAAGCATGTAGGAAGGGAAGGAAAAGAGATACATATCCAATTTAGAGATATTTGTTAACTGCCATGTATAACATGATTAGATTACGTGTACTACATTGCTTTTCCATAAGCGTCAAGTTTCACCTCTCAAGTTTTGACTCAAAATTAGACTTCAAAATGAAGACCAGTTAGTCTAACAGCAAGACATCTTAGATCATAACAAACATTAAAATCCCAAATCAAGACCAACCAGTCCTAAGTTTATTCTCAACTTAAGGGGCAGAGTCAAATCCCACCCCAACCAACAGGTTTCAAGTTAAAGAGCATACACATAACGGGCAATGCTCGCTAATGTTATTAATTTATAGAAACCTGCGTGGTGCTACTTTTGTGTTTACAGACTTGGAACAAGGTCCACACCAGCATCCCATGACTGAAGCTCCTGGGACATTACCACTCTGCTTTGAAAGCAGGGATCAAACATATTAATGCATACTTGTGTGAAATTCAAACTCTGTGTGCGTGTGTGCTGCAGTGATTTAATGGGTTGTTGAAATGTGTGGAATTTCAGGGAGGATTGCTAACTTTCCCTCACAGTTTAAATGGAGTGATGGAGAAGGACTGGAGTCATAACCTCGCATTTCTCATCTCCTCTCTCCTTGTTTTGTTTCTCTCCTCTGTGTTTTTCCCTCTGGTCTCACCTAGCACTAATTAATATATCCTCTCCTCCCTCCACCCTCAGCTTCCCTATCTGTCTCCAGTTCTTCTTTGTGATCTCCTGGGGGCTGAAGACTGCTGTGCTACATAACACAACAACAACACCTGCTGTACTGTGTGTGTGTGTGTGTGTGTGTGTGTGTGTGTGTGTTCTCTCATTGCGTTTGCACTGGCCACCTTTGCCTCTGCCCTAAGAAAGAAGTTATTCAGAGTTTGCTTCAGTCCGACTCCGTAAACATGGATCTCAGTAACTTTCGCAATCTTATGCGCAAAACTCAAACATCTATTTTAGAAAATGGCTTCCTGGTCAAAGGCGTTGATGAACTTAAACATGTAAGTGTTCAATTTAAATTCAGGTCTGACTCTTAAGTTAGCCTCCATGTTTTTGAATATGTGAAACCTGGGTGTGACTTTGCCCACTTTGGTTAGAGTGATAACTTTGTACAGCCCTGCTCCTGGCGTTCTCTCTAATTCTTTAGGGGTAGTTGAAGCTCTTTGAAGCTTTTCTACAGGAAGTTCTGGATGATGTACAAGCAGACACTTGGTTGTGTTTTGCAGCATGTGTTGGAATAAATTGGAGGTCTGTGAGTGGCTTGTAAACTTCAAACAGTGTTTCTCAGCATCGGCCTGAATGTTTTCTGCTGTAGGCTTCAAGCTGTGAGGGGGGCTTGGGATTTTCTCCTAGAGGTTGTAATGGTTAGAATTCTGCACCTGTTTCCACATGTTTGCTGCTCTTTATGTTGTATTATTATTATTATTATTATTATTATTATGTTTTTAAACATAATTTTTGACTGTTTCACAAAAAAAACCCGTATATTTAGACGTCACACTTAAAAACTGATTCACTTGATTTTGATTTTACTTTTTGTGGAATAAACAATAAATCAATCATAAAATAGCTGTTAGATTAAGGATTAATTGACATAATAACTCCTTCGTTTGTTTTGGAGAGCTAATCAGAGACCAGAAATGTCAGAGACTGCAGTACTGCAATCTTTTTTTTTTTTTTTATTACCTCTGCCATGGAGGTCCTTTTTTTGTTTGTGTTTGCTTGAGTGTCATTTTGTCTGTAAACACCATAGCTTGAAAAGTTGTGAATAAAACTTTTTATGGGTGGAGAGTTGGGTCGTGTTAACAATCCATTAAAATTTAGCTTGCATCTACCAACTTGCATCCACTAGGTCAACCTAATAACAAAAGGCCTTATAACTTAGAAACTAATTCTTACAACTGTGCTGTGTAAGGTATAGAAGGTACTGTATAAAGATTTAAAATGTCTTGTTATATTCTCCTGCAAGATCAATAGATTAAGGTCTACGTGACAGTAATGCTATATAGAGATACTTATTATTTGGATAACAGGATTAACTTGTGTTTAAAAACATCTTACTTGATATTCATTACTAAACATTGAAACTAATGTGATAAACGCTGACCTGATTGTTACACATGTGGTATAGCCATACTCAGAATGATGTCGGGTATATTAAAATGGGCAAATAATGAAAGCCCACACTTGTTTTTACTGCACTGCAGATTTCTTAAAGTACCTTTTAAAAAGTACAAAAGTCAATATATAGAAAATGCGATACTCTCCGCTTCAAAGTAAATCGTTGCCCAGAGAGTGAGCTGGCTCGGTGAAGGTGTGCGCTCTCCCAGTGCTTCTTGTTTTGTTTTATTTTTTTAGATCTGCACAGTAACCTGGAACATCTCATTTTGAGATTCAAGTGGGAGTGTTAGCAGGACTTGTAATCTGCTGTCAATATAGAGAAAATGTGGAAGTTAATAACTATTTAAAATGTGTCATAAAACTGAATTTGAACAAAATTCATACCAGCAAATCAGACCTTTTAGAAATATGACAAATTGTTAGTGGATCTCTAATAATAAGCAGTGAGCTATAAATATCTGTTGAATGTGAGTAAGATTAGCCAGCACACCACAGAAGGCCAAGCCCCGTTGTACAAGGAAAACATCAAAGACTACTGAATGAAGAGTTTTATTTGCTTCAGTAAATGGAGCCACAATGAGTGGCTTCAAGGCCAGCCAGCATGCTGCAGTATTCGGCACTTCCATAAAACAAACACAATCTTTTGGATGCAACACGTTTGAGTTTCAGGAGGAATGTCATTGTGTCTTGGTGCTGCTCTACCTCGTGTTTTTGGTTGCTGCTTCCCTTCAGTCCTCTCAGTCCTCCCCTAATGAAGATGGATCATGCTTGCGTGCTGTAGAGTTTCTGTTTCTCCTTGCGTGGGACTGGCAGATTGTGGTTTATAAAGTGTTACTCTGTTTCGGTATGTTCATTCACTAACCACACCTCCTCCCCTTTTCTCTGCTCCTGTAGGTGGTGGCTAGTGACGGGGTGCGGGCTATGATGGAGTCGGCCCTGACAGCCAGAGACCGGGTGGGCGTGCAGGACTTTGTCCTGCTGGAGAACTACACCAGTGAGGCAGCCTTCATAGAGAACCTACGCAAACGCTTCAAAGAGAACCTTATCTATGTGAGTGGGCGTGGGGACATGGACATGTGTACTGCTATCATAAAGATAGTGACCTGTGTCCCAGCACTCTTCATAAGGATTTATTTTACATTTTAAATTATGAGTTCCTGTAATATATTACTTATTTAAATATTTATTCTAAGCCTGATGTAACTGTGTGAAAATGACCTCACTGCTGTCAAACAGAGCAGTGAGCCATGAGCCTTGTTTCTCTTTTGTGTGGACCTCTTGAGGTTTTTTTGTTTTTCTTTTTCGTTTTTCTTTTTTTTTTTTTTTAAAGCAGTATTATGTTGCACTTGGAAGAGGACAGACCTCTGAATGATGCAGAGATTATTTAGATTATTTATTTTTACCTCTGTCCACAAGCCGGCAAAGGAAAAATAATGTTGGGCATTGAGTTCTGAATTAAAAGCTCACAGCATGCTTGCCCAGGGTAAGACATGCAGTTAAGATGTCCATGTGTCCCTGATAAAGCTATGGTGTGATTCTCATCACACAATACACACTCAGGATCCTACTAACAAAGTGGTAGTAGTAAAAGTCCATCATTTTCATGTAATGTGACCTCACGTTTCCTTTTCCTTAGACATACATTGGTTCAGTGCTGGTGTCGGTTAACCCCTACAAAGACCTGGAGATCTATACCAAGAACCACATGGAGCGATACCGTGGGGTCAACTTCTACGAGGTCTCACCACACATGTAAGTAATGTCAGCGTCGGTCGATCTGACAGTGCACAGCTCAGACTGATTCAGCATGGGCTGGGTCTGAAGACTGCATTTGAGGTGCAATGTTGCATCCAAACTTTCATGGGTGCATTTTAGGCAGTCGGGGAGAAACGTGATGTTAGCTTACGACCTCCTCATTTTGAAACCTCAGGACCATAGTATTCAGTCTTCAATGGTAGTCACACTGTTGGAGGGCTACAGACTGAAATCAGAAAGCTTCCAGAAGTAGCACCCTTGTTCTTTGACTGCAGTTTTGTTGATAGTGACTGTACCATGGTTTGTTGTTGGCTTTGTTGTTTCAACTATTATGACATGGACGGTGCTGTCGGAATGAGGTGTTAACTTTATGACTGACTCTTAAGTAGCCCACGGCCTACCATCATAACAAATAGTGTTTTGCTCATCTTTGCTCCTGTGATGTGAAAGGCCTATGTTTGTGTGCCTGTCTGTAAATCCTGGATTATATAAATAATATCTTTGAGTGAAAGCTTGGGGGGAGGATTCCGTGCTGTTAGGTGAATCACATTTCTGAAACACTGACTGCACCATTCATGGTGGACAGTATGTTTACTGTGGTCATGTTTTTGCTCCTACAGCCTAAAAGAGGGAATTTGTTGAAGCTTCGTGAGGTTTTTTCCTGTCGATGACATAACGGCGTTCCAAATATTGCCGCAGAGCATGTGGGAATATTTTCTCTAAGTGCCAATCTTGCAGAGTCAACTAGCTTATAATGCTATGAAAGCCTGTCTGTCCTTGTATGAGTTAAAGTTTGTTTGAAAGGTTGCCACAGAAATGGTCAGAGAAACAATGCCGAGCATTATAAAGGCTCCCAGTGGCATCATCGAAACATTTGGCGAGCTTTCTCTCTCTGCTGTAACCACTGCTAGTTTTTTCTTTTTTCTCCCAACTCTCTCACCTTAAACACTCGAGCATGTGGGTAAATGTTTTCTCGGCCCCTGAGTGGAAAGAAAGATGTGCTTTGGCAAAGAGTTGTGGAAAGTAAAGTAAGCAAATGATGGTACCAGAGAGAGGGAATTCCTCTGACCTGAAGCTGACCTCTACAGTATAACTCAACGTATGCATACAAAATGATGTAGCTAGTGTCACGGGGCTGTTTTCTTAATATTTCCAAATAAGCTGAAACAACATGGCAGTGGTGATAGCAGCACAGGGCTGACAGGCTATACTGTAAGTGAAACAGGCTGTTTTCCACTCTGGCCTTTCTGCTTCACACGGGTAGTCTTCTATCTTTCCATGCTCACATGCCATGAGGTGCTGTCATATGTCACATTCCTAACGCAAGTTTTCCAAGTTATCCCAGAACAGCATTTTTTTTTCATCATCATGACTGAACAGTAATCATGTGTTTAATTTTATTTGCATTTCACCTCTTGATCTGCCCTCTTTTTTTTTTTCTTTTTTTTTTTAAAGAGTAAAATCGTCTTTAAAAATATTTATCATTGGTAATCATAACTATTGAAACTGTAATTTACAGTCATGATGAATTTATTTCTGCTCCACTCCTCCAGCTATGCAGTGGCAGACAACTCATACCGCTCCATGAGGACGGAGGGGAAGGACCAGTGCATTCTGATCTCAGGGGAGAGCGGTGCCGGGAAGACTGAGGCGTCCAAGAAGATCCTGCAGTACTATGCTGTCACCTGTCCAGCCAGCGAGCAGGTGCAGACGGTGAAGGACCGCCTGCTGCAGTCCAATCCTGTGCTCGAGGTGAGACATTGTGCCATTTTGGCTAAAAATAATGGCCAAAAATATTTTTTCTTAATTTTGAATAACTTAATTAATGATGGTGTGTTTAGATAAAAACCTTTATTTTGGAGGATGAAGGCAGTCCACAAGCACCGGAGCTTTCATGAGCGCTTGTTTAGGTGTCTCTATGTCTCAGCCAGATGTGTTCCAGATGTCTTTAAGTGTGTGTGCATGCCCTGTACCCTGTAATCTGTGCTACTGTCCTAGACAGACACCGCAGGGAGTCTAATGGCTGCGGCTTTCTCCTTCCTTTCCTGCTTTTTCCTCGTCTGTCAACCCGTCCTTATCACACTTGTTCTCTCCATTTTTCTGTTATCTCTACCTCTTTAATCTATCAATCATCGCTCTGCTCCTTATCCCACTCCACTCTGTCCTCCTTCCAGGCTTTCGGCAATGCCAAGACGTTGCGTAATGACAACTCGAGCCGCTTTGGCAAGTACATGGACATTCAGTTTGACTTCAAGGTGAGCACATCACGGTGATTTATACTGACAGCTACTTTAAGCAGTGCAGCAAGTAGAATCTCAAATGTAGCTGCTGTATTTCGACACTCGAGCATGAGAATCGATTAATGCATTATTTTTAAAAGAAACATAAAATATGAAAAATATGAAAATCCCCATGGAACCTGCATGTTAATATCAACCCCAAATCATACCTCAGTACCCCAGCCTCACCCTCTCCGCCTCCTCCCCTTCGTCCCCCCTCCCTCTCTGGCCTTTGTTCCGTCGGCAGGGAGCCCCAGTGGGAGGTCACATCATCAACTATCTGCTGGAGAAGTCGCGTGTGGTCCACCAGAACCACGGGGAGAGAAACTTCCACATTTTCTACCAGTTGATCGAAGGGGGAGAGGAAGACCTTCTCAGACACCTGGGCCTGGAGAGGAACCCGCAGCAGTACCAGTACCTGATCAAAGTAAGAACGTAGTACCTGAACTCGTGTTTGTGGTGCAGCTCATCTGAGTTTTTATTGAGCATCTTATCATCATGGATGTGATCATAATCCTTAGTGTTAGCAGTGTTAGTGCTGTCCATTCATGTATTCTAACTTGGTCTTTTTGGAAACTACAGTCAAAAAGAGTCCATCAGAAAAATTGCTATGCAGCTCCTCCTATGTGAAAATGCTTAAAAGTGTGTGTGTGTGTGTGTGTGTGTGTGTGTGTGTGTGTGTGTGTGTGTGTGTGTTGCTATTACAGAGATCATGAGGTAACCTAAGGTCCTCCTTGGATTATCTCATGACCAAACAGCACTAGCTTCAACATAGCTTGGCTGCTTTAAAGCAGTGAGGACAGCAGAGGAATGACAAGTACAGTTCCTAAACTGTGGGTTGGGGTTTTTTTGAGGGGTGTCTAGGATAGTAATCAACATGTTAAAAAAGAAAGGTTGCTATTAATCATAAAATAGAAGTGTTTGGTTTGGCTAATAAGACTGCATGCTACCTGCTCAGGAGGAACTGCTTTCTCACAATTGGATGGGAAGAGAAACATTGCTGATGAATAACTGGTTTGTAAAGATTCACTCTCTCTCTCTGCGACCTGCCAGAAACCACTGGCCTGCACTGTGTGCTTGTCCTAATGGGAGCTTGGCTAATAGCCTCACGGTACAAGGTGTGGAGGGGTCCTCAGGGGAGCGGTCTGCCTTTAAGGCACTAGCTGAACTCTCCCCCTCCCAGCAGCTACCGAGCAGAGCACCTCACATTTGTGTTTGTCTAAATAGGTGTTTAGCTCACATATAAGTAGGTGTTTACTTTACCTGTAAACAGCAATTTGCACATTAGCTGCTTTGTAGGGTTTGCTGGACATATTTAATAAAGGGGATGAAAAGCTAAAACTGACTGTAAATAAGCAGCATGTTTAAAGTGCTTTAGGTCGTTCACATGTTTTTCTTCTTTCCACAGGGAAACTGTCCCAAAGTGAGCTCCATCAACGATCGCAGTGACTGGAAGGTAGTGAGGAAAGCCTTGACTGTGATTGGCTTCAGTGAGAACGAGGTGGAGGTGAGGACGAAGGCCACGCTGGCACGTATTTAGTTTTGTAGGAACATATAAGTTTAGCATGGATAATCCAGTGTGCATTAATGCCCATGGAACAGTTTTTACTACAGGCTGTGCTGCAAACACTGAACTGTGTGTGCCTGAGGGGGTTGTTTCTGCTACTCTGTGGGCGTTTGTTGCTGAGAGTGTTTGTGTGATTTGTGTGTGTGTGTGTGGCTGTTATTCTAAAGTGAGATGTTTCTTGAGCTCAGCGTGGGAGTCTTCCTACATGTTCGTGAGCCTGGGCTCGCCTCCAAAGCTCTTTGAGATCCCACACTGCTCATAAAGTGAAGAACAGGTGTGAGAGTGTGTGTGTGCAGCTCCGGTTTGATACTTGGATTCCTGTTCTCTCCGGATCTTAACTTTAATCAAAGCAGCTCGTATCAGTCTCATAAAGATAGCCTCGGTAGTAACTTCAGGTTAATCTTATCACGCCACAACCCTTTGTTCTTCTCCTTTTTTCTCACTCCTGTTCCCTCCGTCTCTGCGTAGGAGCTGCTGAACATAATCGCCAGCGTTCTCCATCTCGGCAATGTGCAGTACGGCGGAGAAGACAGCAATGCCTGCATCACCTCTGACATACAGATAAAGTACCTGGCCAGGGTAAGACAATGTTAGGATCACGAACACGCTCAGCGCCACATAAAAGCAACAGGGCTTTTAGTTTTCAGACAAGTCCCTCATGGAAAGCAGAACAAAAGTGAAAACAGAAGGATTGAGTGTCACATATAAGGTATCCTGTATGAGGCAGACAAATTGCACATTTCTTTTCACTTCAAGCAAGCTTTGACAAACATCTATTGAGCTGCTTTAGGTAATAATTTTCAGCAGTCTGCCGAGAACGTTAATAGCTATTCAAACTGTCCTATTCACTTGATAACTGCTTGTGCCTCCACACAGGCAGCAGTCAAGGCTGAATGCAGTCTGCTTCCAGACCATTCATCTGTCCCTTCTTCTTATGTTTAAATTTAACATAAACCTTAACTTAGATTCAACGTTGTTTTGTTTTGTGTTATGGGGTCAAAGGTTAAAAGTCCCTGTAACACGTCCGTCTCACTTTGTTAGTGCTGCCTTTTGGGGGTTTGAAAACATTCTGTGAAAAAGGTTGATTTGGACTGAGATGAGCTGGTTTGGTAACGGCGATCTGTCAAAACATTTTGTGCCATATAACGTTCACGTGCATATGAGGGAACATTTTCACACAAGGCGAGATTTTGGTTATAAAAGGTCAAAGTTCACCTTTTGCCCCAAAAGGCTGGTTCTGTTCATCTGGACGTAGCGTTTTCAGTGCGAGAAACGTTTCGTCACCCATCCAAGTGACTTTTTCGGACTCTACATGTTCCTAACATGTAGAGTTGAATTCAGTATTATTGTCTAAGTGTCTGAATTCAGTGTTTCTCACAACTATATTTCTGCTGCTTACTAAATGTTTTCTAATCGGGTATTGCCAAAAAAAAGAAACTGCCCTCACTTCTTCTGGCAGGTTAGAGCTGACTTTGTGGAAATATGGGCCCCGCTCTTTAATTTGTCAAGCATGCGATATGATCCTATCATTACTTTCCACAGAGAAGGCTCTCATTCATGCCTTTAGTCTTCCAGTTAGACCAGGAGTCAGACCTAATGTGCAGATACCAGAGCAGTGCGTCACTGCCGACCAGCATGATGTCTGTGTGTGTCACCGTGTAGCTTCCTAACGCTGCCGTGCTTTTTTCCAGTTGTTAGGAGTGAATGTGTCGGTGCTGACGGAGGCGCTCACACACAAGAAGATCATTGCAAAGGGAGAGGAGGTGGGTTTGGATACACACTCTCATTGTGCGATAAGCATTTGTTTACAAAGCCTTCCTGTGTGTGTAATGTCTGCTCTAATACAGTGATTTGTCTAACTGTCCCTGCTGAGCCCCGTGTAACTCTGGTTTTGTCAGTCTTTGCTTGTCTGCACTTGTCTCTCACCTTCCTGTCTCTCTGTGTGTTTCATCATCAGCTGATGAGCCCGCTGAACCTCGAGCAGGCATCGTCAGCCCGGGACGCTTTAGCCAAAGCCGTGTATGGACGCACCTTCACCTGGCTAGTTAACAAGATCAACGCGTCGCTGACATACACGGTATACACACTCATACATACAGTTGATAATGTTTTCAGTTCACCGTACTTTTCTGTTTAACCTGGAGTCAGTTACTACATCTGCCACACTGATTACTGTAGCACAGAGCACATCAGTGTCCCTGTATTGTTACGGCACAGCTCCACCTTGTGGGCACAGTCTTGTATCATGTCCTGTAGTACCTTACTGGTAACAACTTGAACACAAATAGATTCAAATTAAAAGAATTTATAAAATCTGTTTTTGTTCCTGTTTTTTGCCCAAAATGTTTCAACGAAGACCATGAAGCTTTAAAGTTTAAATCTTAACCTGTGATTTTCCTTAATAAAATGTGTTTATTGATAAATTTATAAAGCTACCCTTAGTTTAACTGCACCAAAAATTAAAAATGTATAGACAAAGTTTCAAGCCATATCAAAAAGCGCACTAATAACGGCCATCATACATGCTGGACGCTGCACATGTTCATATACATTGAGTGCATTTCTTATTTCTATAGTTTCACATTTGTCATGAATATACACTTTTTTTTTTTATATTATCACACCTGTTACGTGAAATAATCCCATTTTCAAAAAAGAAAGAAAGAAAAGAAACTCTACCAGTTTTAGCTTGTTTTCTATTCCCATAAATTTAACTTTTATGTTTTCTTTAATTCTTTTATCCTCAAGAATTAATCCATCTAATATGAACCATTACCTTTAAATCTCGAGGCTTAAAAACAAACTTATTATAGTGCAGAAAACAAGAGGTAGACGTCTGTTTTTTTATTTTTTTTAGCCAGTGAAAGAGAGTAGCTAACATACTTGGTTTTAAATTAAGTTTAGAGTCTTCCTCTAAATTCATTACTTTACAAATTCTTTTCCAACCTCTCAGTACATTAATGCCATAGCAGTTATCTATCTTAATGTTTTATTTCTGCAGAATATTATTCAATCCAGTTATTATATAAATGCTAGCACTGGTCTGATTTACTGTATTGCTCAACCTCATTGGTAGTATTGTTCTGAGCAGCATAACAGCAGTTTCTTTAGATGATGAAATGGTGTTTATTGTATGCTGGGACTTTCCTTTTCCTGTATATTACAAATGCGTTTTTTGTTTGTTTTTTCTAACAGAGCGACTCTTCCAAGAATTACAGTGTCATTGGTCTGCTGGATATCTATGGCTTTGAGGTCTTCCAGCACAACAGGTACAACTACCCCCAAATTAGCCAATGAATCCTTTTCCCCTTTTTGTGTGCTAAAAAACTTAGATGAACTCATTTGGATGTGTTCCACTTCCATTGTCGTCTACTCTGTGAACAGTGTGACATAATAAACTAGAATCAACATGTCTCCTTGCTTTGTCTTATCTGTCTCGTTTGTTGCATGTGTCAGCTTTGAGCAGTTCTGCATCAACTATTGTAACGAGAAGCTGCAGCAGCTCTTCATCGAGCTCACCCTGAAGTCGGAGCAGGACGAGTACGAGGCCGAAGGCATCACGGTCAGACACTGCTCTCTGTCTCAGTGCCCATACACCTGCTGTGATCGACCTGTTGTCATATGTAGTTTCCCATTAAAAGTACCATGTGTTCCTCAGGTCTGGTTTCAGAAAGCTTAGACAGTGATGGCCGTGGACCTTTTCCATATGTAAAAAACCTGCTGTTTGCTTGTTCAGCTGCAGCAAATGTACATGTAGAATTTTTTTCTCTTTTTTTAAAAAATTTTGTGCAGGGGTTTCCCTACTCTGTGCACCGCTCTGCTCATGCTTTAAAGATTTCTTATTTACTTTTTCCACAGTTTGTTTTCATCAGTGGGTCAGTGAGAGTTCAGGCTCTGCAAAGAGCTCCTAATGCAATTGTGTCTGCAGTTTTCCAAAGTAAAGCCGATAATTGAATTCACTGTTCTGCTTTTTTCCCCCTCAGAGTCTAAACTCAAAGTAATTTAGAGAAAGTGCACATATTTTTAGAAGATGCAGACCCATTAGAAATGAAGCCCTCTTATTGGTTGAGGTGAGGGAGGTGGGGGCCTTTTATTTACAGATTAAAAATTTCAACCTCTTAAGAAGATTACATGTCAAAACAGGTCTGCACTGAAAGATGTTTCAAGATGCTGACTGTTCTCCTCACTTACTCTTATTCTCCTCATTTATATTCATTGAATTTTGATTTTGTTTGGCCCTTCAGAACAAGAGCATCTTGTTTTCATTCTAATGTAAATGTCTGTGTGGTCAGAGAGCAAACAAGTTGTGGGAGAAGCTTGGATTCTCTTCTCAAAGAGTCCATTCTTATCTGATATCTCTCGCTCTCCCCCTCTCTCTCTGCCGTCTCAGTGGAAATAGTTTGACTGTGCTAACAGGTAACAGGACCTGCAACCACCACACTCAGCCTGGGGTGCACTGTGATTTTGATTCTTGTGCTTTCAAGTTGTTTTGTGTCTTGGTCTTATCAATTTCTGGTGGCAGCTCAGATTTTAATGAGAAAAAAATCTATTAATGATTTCTTTTTCCTATCTGTGCAGCAGATCGTTGAGCTGCTCAGCAATCAGTCATTTTTTTTCTCTTAATGATCTCTAACCATAACTTTTGTGCATTTCCAGTGGGAGCCAGTGCAGTACTTCAACAACAAGATAATCTGTGACCTGGTGGAGGAGAAGTTTAAAGGCATCATCTCCATTCTGGTGAGGAGATATGCTAGTCCCTCTCACTTATTGCTTATGTGGTCTAGAAGCAGAAATATTTAAAGAATCTATGGGTGAGCATATTAAAAAGAATAGTCTTTAGTGGAACATATCAGACAAACAGGAATAATCCATGCATAGACAAGCACATAGACTTTTGTCTCCAGCTTCTTATTTAGTGCGTAGGCCTGAGAGTGACAGTCGAAGCAAAAACTAAAAATGTAAAATCGGGGGGGAAAAAAACAAACAAAGATGTGGTGAATTTGGTTGAAAAGTGACAGAACACTTCAGTCTGCAAGCTCCTCAGACAACAGCAGATTCAAACCACAAACCTCTTCCTGCAAGGCGAGCGCTGCTAACCACTGCGCACTGTGGATCCAGTGTTGGCTGTTCAGTGACTGCTATAAAGAAGCTCACCATGTATCATCTATATTTAGATATGTTACTATATGAATGAATCAAACTTATTTTTTGTGTTTAGAGACATTTTAGGGAGAAAATCAAACATATACCCAAAGATTAAGAGGAAAGTTATGATTTTAAAATGTGAAAGGGAGATGTTCCTGCTTACCTCAGTGAAAATTACACCTTTTGTTAGACAAGTGAACAAGACCTTTTGTACCTGACCTTTAATACACAGGACACAACAGGCAAGTGTGACAGCCAAACTCTGAGAGTTTGTAGTCACAATATTTGACCTCTCTGTTCATGTGTCACAGGATGAGGAGTGTCTGAGGCCCGGAGATGCCAGTGACTTGACCTTCCTAGAGAAGCTGGAGGACACCGTGGGCGGACACGCACACTTTGTCACGTTAGTTTGATATTCTCTCTTCTCATCCACAGCTTATACAGTGTGATCTCACATAAAGTTCAGCTTGTCAGACTTTGAACTATTAAATGTATCCAGTTTATTTCCTGGTAAATCCACGTTGTTTGTTTGTGTTCTTCCCTGCAGTCACAAACTGGCAGATGCAAAGACCCGGAAGGTAATGGGCCGTGATGAATTCAGACTGCTGCATTACGCTGGGGAGGTTAACTACAATGTCAACGGTGTGTGTGTGTGTGTATTTATATATATATATATATGTATATGTGTGTGGTTGTGTTGATGTGAGAGTGTACTGCTGTGAACAGTGTCAACATCAAAGTAGTGCTTCTTTTTTCTAAGTGGAAAAAAACAGCCAAGGACAGCATGACCTTGTGCCGTTGCATGTTTGTTATTGTGGTGAATTTGGCAAAGCAGTCAGGCATGTCAGACTCCTTTCCAGTACTAAATACCAGTACTGTTTGATAATACTCCCAGTAAATGGTAAAAGCTCTGAGCAGACTTACAGAAGCTCTAATACTTCACATAACAAAATCACATACATCAGGCCTGTTCTTGCACAGTTTGTTTGTAGCAGTGATGTGACGGATTTTTTTTATAAAGTTATATAAATAATCCAGTTTCTGACCATCTTCTTGACATTCAAACGTAACAAGTAGCAATTTTGAACCCTTATTCTTAATGTTGCCCTGGGTCAACATTTCAGAAGCAACAAGCTAGTTAGCCACAAATGCACTGTGTGAAAGTACTTCTTATGAAAATCCTGCTTACTTCTTATGAACCTTGCTTGAAAAAGGTTAATTCACCAATTTGGAAGGCTCACCTTAACAGAGAAAGCATACAGTTAGTAGTTACGTTATCCGTCAAATTAACCTGTAGTAGTAGTAAGTACATTTAGATACAACTCTAAATATATCGGCTTTATTTGCTATTAAGCAAGCTGTTAAAGGTAACCTATTCTGTTCACATTTTTAAACTTTAATTCAGTAACTTTGCATAATTCACAGTCCAAAATTATCCTTACGTATTTGCTTATCCCAGAACTTCATGCAGCCTTTTAGTTTAACGTCTGACTGAAACAAGACAACGTTCTTGTGACTGGATGCCCCTCACTAACAAAGTATTTGAATAGCAGTTGGCTGGGGCCTGACCATATTAGAGGTATCCACTTTGAATAATGTAACGCTGAGCCAAGAGTAGAAAGAAGCATCAGCCCGAACCCTAAGTTTCAGTGACTACTTGTACCTACACTGATCTTGAGCTGTTTGCCGTGGTTAAAATGAGCATTTACATTACATTACATTGTAACAGGGTCATATATGAAAGGAAATGAGGAAAAGTCACATAGATCCGCTTTGTTACAGCTGGAAAATCAGAAAATAAAATTTTTATTTAGTGTGGTATAAAATCAAATTCAGTATTAGAAAACTCTTCAGTCTGTCTAAATTGAAAATGTACCACTGTTTGTTTGATTTTTTTTTTTATTAGTATTATTATTGTTTTAGCTCGCTTGCTGCATTGGGAGTTTTTCCCTTTGAAGGAAGACCAAGAAATAATCGGAGAATCTGGATTTTTTTTCTCTCACACATTTGAAGAAGAGAAAGTCAGAGCAGTGGGCCAGTGATGAGTGTTAATGTGAGGTATTGCATTTTCACATCTGACTCTTTCTCCTTTCAGGATTTTTGGACAAGAACAACGACCTGCTCTTCAGGAACCTAAAAGAGGTGAGACAGAGTTTAAGCGAACCATTTTCTTTCCCAGAGTTGACGTTCAGGCTAAACGTACCCTGCGTGTGTGTCTGCAGGTCATGTGTATGTCAGAGAACAAGATCCTGACGCAGTGCTTTAACAGGGAAGAGCTGAGTGACAAGAAGCGTCCTGATACGGTGAGATACCTCAGTGTCCATCTGTGCCTCCCTGCTTCAATTTCTGAGGTTTCCTGAGGTCTGCCGTGTTTTTCCTTGTTTGCGTCCCAGCATACTTTCCCACAGCAAAACAAACAGTGGTGTGTTTCCCCTCTCCAGTGCTGAGTGGGCGGTCTGATGGGGATTCTCTGTGGCTACCCACTCACTGAGGAATTCCCTGACACTTGTATGTCCTCCATGCACGCTCACTCACACAGGACCTGTCACAGGCTGGCGGGTTAAGAGTCCCAGTACTCCACACTGGGCCCAGTGTTCAGTGTCAGCTGGGCTTGCCGTCACATCGCCGCCCCCTGCTGACGTTGCTCTTCTTAGCTCATCCTCTCTGTCACCAGGCTTCAGTTTGCTCTTCTCCTCGTCACTTTTTATCTTTTTAAGTCTTTGCTCCATTTGCCACCCAGCGTCCTCTTGCCTTCATCTCTCTATCCCCTGCTAACCACCTCTCATTCATCATATTTCTGTGTCTGCCCCTCCAGGCAGCCACCCAGTTCAAAGCCAGTCTGGCGAAACTCATGGAGATCCTGATGTCCAAGGAGCCGTCGTACGTGCGCTGTATCAAGCCCAATGACTCCAAGCAGTCAGGTATGGTTTCAAGTCCTTTTTCTGTTAATGTAGTGCAGAACACGATAGAACGCATTCTTTCAAATGTTGTTGTTAAATGTTTGAATCGATTGTTCGCCTCATTCGGTGACAGCTAATGGATCACGATTTCATAATGATCTCATATCCATCATCAGTCTAAAGAGCTTGGAAAGAAAAGCGTCTGGACTTCTTTAAGTTGCTTGAAGACGTTTCACCTCTCATCTGTTCAGTTCAGTTCTGAACTGAAGAAGCTTCTTGGATGAGAAGTCCAGACGCTTTTCTTTCCAAGCTCCTTAGACTACGATGAACCTTCACAGACACATCCATCATCAGTTTTTCCTTCTAGTCTTTGCTTTTTTTCAATGCAAAATCTAACTACGGAACAATACTTTCCCCACAAACACAGCATAAATAATAAATCCAGGGCACAACAAAGAGTATAAGTGTGAGGCCAGGAAAGCGAGGAAGACAGTGAGGTGACACATAGGTGTCAGATGTTGAGTAAATTGGGAGCATTTATGTCTGTTTGTGTGTACCTGCATACGCCCGACCCTCTCTCACATATTATTGCCCCCCTACAACAAAATGATGGTATTTTTGCTGTTATTACTACCAGCTGCCATCACCACTCTAAGTGATGATAATAAAAACAGTTGACAGATGTGAGCTTTCTACTCTTTAATCTGTTCAAACAAAACCAGTGACTTTACTGGACATTTACAAAGAAGCCTGTTGTTTTGGTGGAGACCTGTGCTAATATTGTTTTCCAATTGCAAAGCTTACATTTAGGTGTACTTCATAAATTTAGATTTCAACAGCATGAAAATGTTTCAAGTGCATGTAGTAAGTTTTAATTCTGCTTTATTTGTATCTGTTAATGTTTCACACTATATAAATTCAGATTTTCAAAATAAAATACTCCTGTAATAAAGTTGTTTTTTGTTGTCAGCTCGATTCAGATTGCTATGAGTGTTAGTATTTTTCAGAGGGTCAATGTCAGCTTTATGCAATACTTTTAGTAAAAGGAGCTTCAACAAGATAATAATTTCCCCACAAACCTCACATTCATTCTGATATTTCAAAAATTCTGACCTAAGCAGGTTGGATTTGGGGTTGTTGTTGTTTTTTTGTTTGTTTGTTTTGTTTTTTTCTGCTCCATCAGTAGCTGCAGTGGACCTCTCCGTGTGGTCGTCAGTATATCGGACCAGCCCTTTGTTTCTCTCCACAGTTGGCCTTTTGTTGGTTTCACACTCTTTCTTTGTCCTGTGTCACTCCCACTCCTGCTGCTTAGCATTTACTGGTTTTCTCTGGTTCATTTTGCTCTGCTGCCTTTCACATTTTTCTCACTGAGCCTGCTCTCCCTCTGCTCTCCGTCACAGGTCGATTTGATGAAGTATTGATCCGTCACCAGGTCAAGTATCTGGGACTGATGGAGAATCTGCGGGTGAGGAGGGCAGGCTTTGCCTACAGACGCCGCTACGAGGTGTTCCTGCAGAGGTGATCTGCCACCGCTAACATGTCTCCACAACATCTGCTGGTGTCATCGCAGCTATCGGTCACAAAGATTCTCACATAGAAACACATTAGTTTTAGTAATTCATTGAACATTATTAAGTAAAACTATTTAGATTCGTTCATAACTATGGAACAACGTAGTATTGAGCTTTGCATTCCATTGGATACCTCAGTACACTATAGTAGCTTTTAACACCTACCAAAAGTCTCAATACCTCCTCCTCATACCCCAAGTCATTGGCAGCAAAACAAGAAAAAAGTTCAAAGCTGCTCAAAAGTGACTATTCCCAGTATTTAAACTCGATTTGAATGACAGTAAACCCATGCTGGTGTAGAGCTATTATTCTTCTCTCAGGTGAGAGGCCTTTTAAGCCAAAGTGTCTTAAATCACCTTCTGCTATCATTGCTAACTTAATTTGGAATAGAGGTTGAAAAAAAGAAGTTTCCTGAAGCAAAAAAGGGGAAACAGAAAATTCCTTGTTACTTCCTGTGACGTTAGGCTAAAGCACTAAATCCTCACAGGTCAGAGGCTGGAAAAAGGGATCATTTGGCAGTCTTACTACAGATAAATCAAACAAAGCTTACATATTGCACATTATTTCTCTGACTGGTTTGTGCTCGCCTGAGGCATTTATTTACCTGTATGTCTTTATCTGTTAAAAAGCGGGTCTCTGATAATGATCAGGCAGAGGTGAGACAAACAAATAAAGGCTGGCCTCCAAATAGAAACTATAGAAATAGCTGGCTAACCTGCTGTCTTATAAACAGCCAGACCCTTTTAGTTTTTGATTTAATTCAAATGATTACTTTGTTTTTTTTCTTTTTATGTTTAGATACAAGTCCCTGTGTCCAGGCACGTGGCCTAACTGGGACGGGAAGCTGTCAGATGGAGTTTCCACATTGGTCAAACACTTGGGATACAAGCCTGAGGAGTACAAAATGGGCAGGTCAGCTGCACTGTCTGATGAAGATGTCAAAACTAATCTGTCATATCTGGCAGCTGTCACAGATCCTGTAGAATAAGAAGCACTGTCCCATATTTTGACTTTCTTTATTGTGTCTGTAATTCCATGTCTTTCATAACCACTTAGATCCAAAATCTTCATTCGCTTCCCAAAGACCTTGTTTGCCACAGAGGATGCACTGGAGACCAGGAAACACAGTCTCGGTAAGAGTTGGCAAGTCTCGATCTGACGCATCAATGCCGTTATATTGCTGACAGACAATGTGCTGCAGGTTTGAGCTTGTTGCCTCTGTCCCCACACAGCCACCAAGCTGCAGGCGGGGTGGAAAGGCTACAGCCAGAAGTGCAAATACCAGAAGCTCAGAAACTCAGGTAGGGAGGTTTATATAAAGTTTATACACGAGATACATGTGTATCTCATATTTACAGTAAATCTGAACCATTTATTTATGTGAATTTGCTGTATCTGGCAGCTATTGCAGTCCAGGCATGGTGGAGGGGGATCCTGGCCAGAAGAAGGGCCCAGCGCAGACGACAGGCAGCAAATACAATCCGCAGGTACAGATTATACCGGATCCAACCAGTAGATGGTGCCATACTTTAATGAAAACGTTTATCCATAGAGACCAAGTTTTTGTGTCAGAGGCTGTGGACCATTGGAGCAGCCTCAAGTGGAGATTAGAGGAACTGCAGCTTTTTGGCACTTTAGTATTGCCAAAGGATTGTGCTTACGCGTGACTGTGAAATGTAAAGTATGGGAAGCTCTGTTTGGTTTCATTTAAACATATTTAATTACAACCTTATTACCTTACCTCATTTGCCTTAATTACTAACAGTCAGATTTCGTGTTTTACTCAACAGACTTGCTTTGAGGATCAGTCCTAATAATAATCATTTAAGTAAAGTGAAACAAAATGCAGAATAATTGTCAGGGAGACAATGAAGTAAATGAATTGGAAAAAACAAATCATTACATTCTGAAAGCTATGAAAGTTCCAATGAGTTCTTTTAAAAAAAAATATAAGGGTGCTGTTTCATTCTAATGTTTCTCTTAGGATTACTGTGAAGAAACTTTATGTTGCTGGTTTTTGATGATTCCAGCTCCTTTCTTGTCTCTCCATCAGGTTCATCAAAGGCTTCATCTACCGTCACAAGGAGCGCTGTCCAGAGAACGAGTATTTCCTGGATTATGTGCGCTACTCTTTCCTCATGAACCTCTGCAAGAACCTGCCCAAAAATGTCCTGGACAAGAGCTGGCCCACTCCTCCAGCTGCTCTCACTGAGGTCAGAATTCAGATTTGACTGAAAAATGTTCATGTAAATGTTCTGTCTGGTAAGACCTTCTCATATAGAAAATGAGTGAAAATTGAAGCCAGTAGTCAAGTAATGTGAAACCTCTGTGTGTCTGTAGGCGTCTGAGCATTTGCGTAAGATGTGCATGCAGAACATGGTGTGGAGTTACTGCAAGAAGATCAGTCCTGAGTGGAAACATCAGGTGATGACTGCCCCGCGCTCTCTATCACACTGTAAGTTTTCTGGTTTGCTGCTTGCTTCATTCACATCACTCTCGCCTTTGAATAGATGGAGCAGAAGATGATTGCCAGCGAGATCTTCAAAGACAAGAAGGACAACTACCCACAGAGCGTGCCCAAGCTGTTTGTCAGCACCAGACTCGGTAAGCCATTGCTCACTCTGCAGCCAACGGGCTACAAATGCTTTCAGATCAGTGAATGTGTCTGCTCTTATTCAGATGGCGAGAACATTAACCCCAAAGTTGTGCAGGCTCTGGGCAGTGAGAAGATGAAGGTTAGTGAAGCTTTAGACAGTTTTAACTACAAGCTCAGCATCAGCATGTACTGATCTTCCTGCGCTTTTGTCCCCAGTATGCAGTGCCGGTCACCAAGTACGACAGGAGGGGCTACAAGCCCCGCCCCCGGCAGCTGCTGCTCACTGCCAACAGTGCCGTTATTGCAGAGGAGGGCAAGCTCAAGCAGCGCATTGACTACGGCGCTCTGAAAGGTCAGAGGTCAAAAACAGACAGACGCTTCTCGTGTCTTCTTGTCTTTTAGCGGGTGTTTGTCACATGATTTGGAATAGTGATTGACATTTTGAAAAGAAAATAGCCACTAATTGTTGTGCTGTGTTTGCAGGCATCTCCGTCAGCTCTCTTAGCGATGGCGTGTTTGTTCTGCACGTGCCCAGTGAGGACAACAAGCAAAAGGTGAAGATGAGGACACCTAACTGCTTTGCTGCTGTTTTGAAGAAGGAAAAAAAAAGTCCCACAGAAAAAACTAATTTGCGTCTGCCTGTGTTTCCTCGCAGGGAGATGTGGTTCTGCAGAGCGACCATGTGATCGAGACCCTGACCAAGATCGCCATCTGCGCTGACAAAATCAACACCATCAACATCAACCAGGGCAGGTGAGAGGCAGAAACACACACACTGTTCCCCACAAAGCTGTGCACGGTCTGCACTGGTAATCTCAGGCTCCTTTCATGTTAATCATTCTGGAGTACTTTATGAGTTCCTTCATGATTCTCACTGCCCCTCTGTTGCTTCCCCAGTATAAAGTTTACAATGGGTCAGGGAAAGGAGGGGATAATAGATTTCACACCTGGATCAGAACTGCTGGTGGCCAAAGCTAAGAATGGACACTTGTCTGTGGTGAGTGTGCTTCATCATCTTCTGCATCATTATCAGTTCTATGTCTTTGTCAGCAAAGTGTTTACAGATGTTTTGGGGGGGGGTTGTCACTTTGTTGTATACTCGTTTTTCAGTCTGCATTAATGAGTGCTGGTGCAGCTTCAAAGGGTGTATCTACACATCATTCACAGTTCTAAAAAAAAAACATTTAAACCAGCTTTCTTTTAATTGGTAGCCCGACCACCTGTCCAACAGTGGGTGGGTGGAGCATCTGCGTTCAAAGCCAGAGCAGTGTGCGTGAGATGACCATATTAGGTTGTAGTAAATACACGGCAGACTGGTCCACATCTTAATGCTTTTCAGCATTCTTTATTACTATCACACACACGGTTGCTGTACAAACCACAGCTACAGCTCAACATACCAACAATAACACTGACAGGAGCCAGTGCAGACTTTAAAGCCAGAGAGGCGTGATTGCAGCTGCTGCTCAGGTGTGTCCACCTCCCCTGCAGTGGCACCACAGACCATGCCCCGCTCTCAGTGATGTCATATAGATGCAAGCTTTGCTGACTGATTTGAATCGATTTACTGATCCTGACTGTTGTTGTATGCTATTCAACTGCTGTGAATAAAGATTTTGGTGTAAAGCAGTACACAGTAGTTTCTGAGTTAAGGTGAAACGTTTCTCCTCCGGCTCCCTTTCAGACGGCTCCCAGGCTGAACTCCAGATGATGGCCACTCTGACCACACACACCAGGACCCATGTCCTCCTGACCTCTGCCATCCACCAATCACATGACTGCAGACTCCACTCTGCTTAAGCCAATCAGATGCAAACTGTCACTAGATGGGTGGCATGTGTTTCCGATTTAAACAAAAAACAATAAAAATCCAGCTAAACTAATTGATATATTTATGTTTATAGATAATATTTTTGGGATTAATACTGTTTAATGCTGTTTAAATATTCTGATTTTATATATGAGGCCAAGGGATAACAAATATATTTGGTGCAATTTTCTTGCACCAGCTGTTTATTGTGCTTTATATGGGAACATGACCAAGAAAACAATAAGGAAAGTGTTAGAATAGAAGACAGTGAGATGAAGGGGGCTGTTGTGGATCAAAGTCAGGGTCAGCTGTTGCCTCTTTTTTTTTCCCTGTTTACTTTTTTATTTTTATTTTGCTCCTTTGTCTGCCTGACACTGCTTCGTTAACTGGGCGAGTTATTAAAGCTGTATCTTGTTGCGGAGTGTTAAGAACAAGGTTTGACAGCATGTAGGACAGATGCTGGGAGGTTTGACGAGGAGGAACAGAAACTTTTCGAACATTCAGTAAAGATTTGAGGCCAAAAAAAACTTTTTAGTGTCAGATGTGGCTGAAAATACCTTAAAGAGTTCAATTTACTACTGAATACTCTTCAGAATCTTTATTTGTACAGTGTTTGAGTAAGAAGAGAGGTAATTGTGAGAGAATCGCAGCAGCATGTTCCTTAAATGCTGCAAGAAAAGAACAAAGTAAGTGAGACGGGTTTGTGGAAAAGGCAAGAGAAAGACGGGGAGAGAGAAGTGAGGGTGCAGCAGTGGTTTGCCTTGATGCTAGGTGCTTGTGCCTTTCTCTCTGACTTTATTTACAACAGTTTTGCAGCTCTTCACCGCCGTGTGAGAACCATGACGCTCCAATGAGTCGAGTTAAGTGCAGATGGGAACCTGCCATCCTCTCAGTGAACGTTGGATTAACACCAGCAGCAGCAGCATGTACAGCACACACCAATTGTTCACCACCACAGAGTCCCTCCATCACTATGTCTGCCCTCCGCTCCACCCTCCACACTGCCTGTTACACTCAACTAACCAGGTGTTGCTACACCTAAATAGGCTTTCACCAGTCTGACAGCTAACAGCATTTTGGCTTTTAAAAATAATAATAATAACTTTAGCCCTGTGAGACTAAATTTTAAAGCTGTATTTGGTTCAGCAATGATTGTACTATATTGGGCTATGTTAAAACGCCAAAAGATGCTATTAATTGATGAGAAGATTGAATTGACAAGAGTCTCATGTCTTAATTGTAAATATGTAGCTACATCCAGCTTGATTTAGGAGAGAATAATGGCACGGTTTGTGGGAAAGACTTTGGTTTGATTTATGGGAAATTTCCAGGAAATCTTGTTTGTTAAAAGCCCTCCTACACATTTGGTTTTGTAATTGTTAATGAAGACAGAATGTAACTCTGAGCTTTATATCTCCAATATAGCCTATTGGAAGGCTAACTCTTTTCTTTGCAATTATAATCAAGCTAACAGTTTCCTCGCTGTAGCCTCATGATGTTCATTCACTCATATGTGACAACAAAAGTAGACTTCTCAGAGCAGGACACCATCTGAAAGGCCAAGAAAATGCCATCTGACGCCAACTGTCACAGCAGAAGTTGTTCAGGTGTAACACATCCTGTAGTCCAGTTCAGACATTTCTGTTTAGCCCTGTCTTACCTCTGATTCTCCCTGAAGCCTGCAGCTGAGACCAAAGATGGGGGAAAGGTTTTGCTCTGGAAAACTTATGAGAGCAGCTCCAAAATGTTTCCACTTGATGTCAGAACTTTGTCTCTGAGTGCTGCTGCTGCTGTGTGCATTAGCCAAAGGCCCTGTTGATTTCTAGTGATTATGTGTTGTATGATTAATATGACGTTATGGTGTCGTACTAAATGTTGTTGGAGATGTAAATGTCCATTTTTGTTGTGTTTTAAATGAGCGACTCAAGCCAAACGAGGTTTGATGATGTGAAACGTTTTGGGGAGAAGAAGCTTTTTGGTGTTTGTTAACTCAAACTTGTCCATGTGCCTTTGTTAGTATAGCAATATAAGACGTGTCTGGGAAGAGGAAGACCTCTGTTAGCCTGCCTGGAGATGTTTCCTCTCTGTGTATAAGCTTTATTCAAACCAAGTCTGTCTGTTGATTCACAGATACACTCTTGTTATCACTCCTGAGTTACTGTATCCACCAAACCAATGTAGAATTCTGCCAACACACTAAACCATGACATAGAATTTGAAGAATGAATAAATTTGAAAATTAAAAACAAACTGGCTGTGTCTGCTGGATGTTGCTTTTTATGTGTGTGTGACCTATCCTTTTTTCCAAAGGGGTTGTTAAGTAGCCCAGAGTTAATAAAATGGCAACAACATGCAACCCTGCAGGGTCCAGAAATGCCTGCTGATGTGTTCTGGGTTTTTTTTCTAATATTTTCCAGGTTGGTTTACAATGTGAACAAGACCAAATGCAAATCTCAGAGTTAGGGTGTGTAACCAAGATTGTAATTTATTTTTTTTAAGATACCTGAAAACATTCATATTTATAAATGATTAGCAACTGAAACTAAACACGAAACGCTTAAAGTGAACCGGTTATGCTAATCCATATAATAAACCCTCATCTGCCACTTTATTAGGTGCTAGACCTGAGTTGGACCCCCTTTGTTTTCAAAGCTCTTTTTAATTCTTCGTGGCTTCGATTCAGCAAGGTGCTGGAAACTTTCCTCACAGATGGCTTTGTGGCATGTGTTATCCTGCTGGAAGCAGCCATCAGAAAATGCTACACTGATCATGAAGGGATGGACATGCTCCGCAAGAACACTCAGGTAGGCTGTGACATTTAAGCAGTGTTCAGGATGTACTAAGGGCCTAAAGTGTGCCAAGAAAATAGCCCCCATACCATCAGGCCGCCACCTGCAGCCTGAACCATTGATACAAGGCAGGATGGATCCATGGTTTCATGTTGCCTACACTAAATTATGACCCTACCACCCAAATGTGGCAGCAGAAATCGAGACTCATCAGACCACATCCATGTTTTTCCAGTCTTTTGCTGTGTGATTTGGTGAGTTGTAGTTTGTTTCCTATTCTAGCTGGAAGGAGTGGTACCCAGTGTGTTCTTCTGCTGCTGTAGCCCATCTGCTTCAAGTTTAGACATGTTGTACATTCACAGATGCTCTTCTGCATATGTTGATTTAAATGAGTGGTTATTTCCTTTGGTCACACTGCTTTGAGCAGATACTAGTCTACTCTGACCTTTGGCATCAATGCTGGATATTCTCTCTGTAAACAGTAGAGATGGTTGTGTGGGGATATCTCAGTAGATCCATTTTTTAAATACTCAAACCAGCCTCACTGGCACCAACAATCAAAAATCAAGTCACTTAAATCACATCCTCTCCTCTTTCTGATGACTAGTTTGAGCATCAGCAGGTTGGTTTGACAGATGTGTCCACGACCAAATACATTGAGTTGTTGCCATGTGATTGGCTGATTAGATATTTATGTTAAAGAGCGGTCGATACAGTGATCAGTGAGTGTAAAAGGTTTAGCTGATAAGCAAACTGATTGGTGAGTGTTATACAGCGTGTTTCAGATAAACAGGTCATTATGTGCACAAATGACCCATGTGAGGCAAATGCTCCACCCACCTGCCAATCAAACTTTCTCTTTGCGAGGGACAGCCAATCAGGAGAAAGTTAGCTTAAAGTAACATGAACCGAAATTACTACTTTCAGTGTTCAGTGGATGAACCGAGGAACCGCACCAGGCCTCGGTATATGATTAATAAGGATCGTTTTCAATGTTGAAACATGGAAAACTACTCCATTAGAGTCCAACAAAAGTAGTATAGAGGTAAAAACTGTCATTACAGGCCTATTTAAATTTTTTAAAAATCTGTTAAAAATAAGAAATCAAATTAAACATCAAAATGATGGAACAGTAACAAGTTGTATTGTTATATTGACAGGAAACAACAAAGCTTATAAAAACTGTCAAACACCTCCCTATACTTCATGGTGTAAGTGTATATGCTGTGCAGCTGCTCAAGTTCACCCTGTTGTATCAATCATTAACTAATTTAAAAAAAATCCAAGTTGGATGTTTTATAAAATACAGATCAAACTGATAGCATCAGAAAACTGTTTTCATGCACAAACTGCACTGCAGGCAGTGAGACGTCAGAACCACAACGGCTCATATCATATTCTTCATTTAAACCATGTGGGGGATAGAACCACATGCAGGAGTCCAATCTGATCCAAATTACCTCCTCAAAAGAGCAGGAATGGTTGTGTCTGTGCTACAAAATACCTAACATGTCACAAAAGCAGTGATCTCCATCTCCAAAGTGTCTGTTGTTGTGGGGAGGATGAAATAGGAATGGAGCTATCTGAGTCCCACTGAAAATGCTATGTCCAGATTAACACAATCAACTTTTTGGAATTGAACGTGCATCAAGACCGTTATCTTATGGTAATTTGTTTGAATCTGATTCAACAGACTCCTTTAAATGGCTCCACTGATCACGTGAGTGCTGATTATGTGATTCTGCTGTCAAACAGTTTAGAGGTCTGTGCTATAGTAAACACTAGGTTTCCCGCTGAACCTTTGAGAAGCACGTTTTCAGTGGTTTAACTGTCTGTATAATCTCTGCACTGCGCTGTCATGGTTTGAGGCAGCCAGCAGGTGTCGCCCACTGAGAATACTCCCCTGGTGTTATTTGCCCTCCTCAGAGGAGCTTTTTCCTCTGGACCATGTAAACCCTCCTCTCCTGTAGTTCAAGGAATCCTGCATTTGGCACGAAGCTGAAAGTAAACAGGGTGTCACCTCATATTCTGGTGGATTTATGGGCAATTTGTGGCTTACATAAGCACACACACCTCACGAGGCTTTTCAGAAGTTTCCTAGTTTACCGTAGCCCACTGACACCTTTAATGCAGATGCAGAACATTTTTTCCTCCACAGATCACAGCTGGACAGTCTGGGTTGTGCTGTCCTCTTTATGACACTGTTTTTGTTTCACAGTGAGAGCTACATAATGACCAGCTGTTCAGTCCTTGTCCAAACAAGCCCCCACAGTATATTTCTTAATATATTGTGAAACAGTGCACATGTATAACATTGGAGCGCTCTGATTGGCCACGGCTGGTCTCTAGCTCAGCCAGTAGCCAATGGAGAGGCTCTGTTGTTTGTGTACCGCTGCTGCGCTCATATAAAAGAGGAGGCGACGACCCCCGAGAAGGAAAACTGAGAACTGAAGAAAGCCAGGGGGCACCTGGCTGTGAGCTGTCACTGCTGCCCCGCGTCTCTTCCACCGACCGACGCTCTCACCCGCAGAGGCGGATCTGACTGCGAGGACCGAGCCGCTCAGCTGAACCCCCCCACACCCACGCCACCTCCAAGACCCATAGACGCGCGCGCTTCAGGTGAGGTTCGCACCAGAGGATGCTCTGCAGACACTGCTCCCCGGGGAAGAGGCTGCACATACTCTGAGAGGACATGATCTGTGACAGGCGGCGTGTTGCAGTGTCCTCCTTCACTCACAGTGTCTCCGCTTTGCTTAAAGGCTGCTGAGAGGAAGCTCGAGCTGCAACAGCCGTGACTCTCTCATCAACTTCATCCAGCCTCTCACTGTGTGTCAGTCATTTTCCATCCGCGCTTCGTCTTTTCAGCGCTTTTTTTTTTACAGCAAACTTACAACTGATATGATAACACAGTCCATATTTACACAGGCACTCACACACACGAACATACTTAATTTTCCTCTCTTTATTAATCATTAATAACCAAACTGTTATTAACCAAACTGAAGGTGCCTTTAAAGTACTGGTTCGATTTATGGTAAAAGTAATGTGACGGAAGCTGCTGTCAAGAAGCAAAGTGATAGCGGGGATGCTTTGTTTTGGAGGCTGTTTGTGTCTAGTTAACTGTCTTTGTTTGGGCATGATTACGGCGGTTCCCCCTGAGCTGTTGTTTTTACTGAACAGCTGAGAGCTTCTGGCTGAGATCGGCGTCAAAGTGCTGAAGCCTAAAGTGTGCAGACCCGGAAAATCAGACGAAGTGGTTTTCAAAAATAAAAGCAGCAAGAATGAGTCGAGCGCTGAGAGCGCGCGGCTGAACGCGAACGCGTTTTATATTGAAATTCAAAACCGGAATAGGAATATAATGTTCTGTGTCGCGTGCAGGGGGCTAGAGATGTGGATCGAGGAAGGTGGAGGGGGTGTTTTGTGCGGATGCTTTTAGTCCAGTTCAGACCAGTTCTAAGGCTTCTGCTTGTTCATCGCAGTGTTCTTTGTGTCATTGTTCAGTACGACAAAGCTGTTGCTGAGAAATGCACAAACTTCTAATGAACTCTGGTCTGTGTGTGTTCAAGCTATATTAGCGTATTTTCACGGTCGTTAGTGTTGGGGTCGTCGAGTTAGGCTATCTCAAGTTCATATTCACACAAAAATGCGGACAGTAGGTTTAAAACGGTATTCTTTCAAAAGATGACTGTCTAAGATGAACAAAGTGAAGGGAACAGATAGGTTATGTGTTCCAGCCAGGTGGAGTTTTTATCTGGTTATTAAAACAAGTACAATTACACATAATGTCGCTCAGTATTATCAGATAAATGTTGGCTGGGTGTTCGTAATAAATGCATTTCTGTATGTTTGAATACATTTCCAGTGAGTATTTTTTGCGTTATGACGTTCGCCTCTATAACGGTGCACACTGCACTAACAGCTCCTGTTGAGAAGCGCTCGCGCTGAACACCAACCAGCAGCAGCTGAGTCTCGCGCCGCGCTGGTTCGAACCGGCTGAGCTTGCGCTGCATTCAATTGAAGTGGGATTTTCGGACCACGTTTGTGACAAAGGGTTGCCACACAACCCCAAATAAAACGCCTCACGTTTCAGCAAAAGCAGAGGAGAAGTCGTGTCCTGTAAAGGCATTTTTTATTTTAAAACTAAAATAAAATTTAAATCTTACAGTTTCCACGTCAAAACTTATACAAACAACATTTTCAAAAATGTAAACACCCTCTGCTATGTCCTATTCGGGTGGAATACAACAGCAACCTCACGTGTAGCTGCTGTACAAACAACCAATAAGAGGAGACCTGTTGTACCCTGGAGCCAATCAGATATGTCAGGGGGAGACAGTTTAATATTTATAGGAGGGGTTTGCTTCTCAAATGTCTCAGCTGTTTTCAGTTTGTGACTGTCTTCTCGATCACAACCGTCCTCAGTAGGTTAGAAAAAAAAAAGACCTGTACTGAATATGGATCCAAGAATCATCTAAAACACTTGCAAGAGGTCATATTGTTCAAATATTTCATAATGTTAAAGAACTACATGAACTAGACTTAACGAAAATAATTATAAATAAACCTGTAAGAAGTACCTCACCATGGGTATAATTTCTGGTTGTCATCTTGTTTCTGCTGTCTCTATCTTATCTTCCAGGCTTAAGCAGCCCTCCTCATATTCGGTCAGGTCTAGCACATTGCTACCTCTGATCCATCCAAAATGGCTCCTACTCTGGCCACGGCCTTCTCCCGCCGCTGGTGGATGGCGGTTACAGCAGTCATTGAGAACCTGCTTTTCTCTGCTGTGCTTCTTGGCTGGTCGTCCCTGCTCATCATGCTCAAGTCGGAGGGCTTCTACTCTTACCTGTGCAAAGGACGAGGTGAGTCTACTTTACTGTAATTGGGTTATCATGTGTGGTTTTGGTGAGGGGGTTGTTTACTTGGAGTCCTTGAGCAAATGAGTATCTGCTGAGGGCCCTTTTGACCTGTTTTAACAAAAACACATCAAATTCATTCATTTTCCATCCTTTCTGCCTTTCTGCATGACAATCCCCTGAGCTGGTAAAAAACTGAAAGCCTCAGGACATTGATCTGAACACTCAGGTGTACTTGCTGTTCCGCTGCTGTGGAATTATGCAGAACACATAAGCAAGTGTGCAAACCTTTTTGTAGAAAGTACCCATGTTTTATCTTACTTTGGCACCTCATCCTCAGTGCAGTGTGTTACTTCTCTCAGCAGGAGCAGGACCTTTGAGAAAAGTGCCTGCCTGCATATTGGCAAACAAGAGCTTCTCATTGATCCAACAGTTGGCTTCTCCTTGTGGAAAATGGGTCATTATGGCGACAGCAGCCTAGGTCTGAAAAACCCTCGAAAGCATCCATAAAGTGCTCCAGCACAACAATGCCACAGATGCATCAGAGATGGTCATTTTGTTGTTATTTGATTCTGTCTCCTACTCTGTGATCAAAGATGATGCAGTGAGCTGCTGTACTCAGAGGGTTATAATTTGGTTATGAAAGATTGCCCTGTTTAAAAAGCAAAAAAACCCAACCAGATGAGGACAGTGGTTCCTCCATCCTAGCATTCGGTAATCAGTGCTGTCCACAGAAACAGTGTAGAGGAGGTGAAATGTAACAGCATGCTGAAGAGAACTGGCTGCTTCATCTTCATCATCAGGGATTGAGTTTTTATCCATTGCAGCCCGCCTGTGAAGGAGACCATTCATCCCTTCATTCTCCACAGTGATCATCAGACAGGCTGCTCTCTGTCTTTGTCTCTTTGATCCTCTGATTGTATCTTCCTCTGTGTATTTCTCTCTTTGTATCCTACAAAGCAGCAGCTGCGAAAGCCTTGCAGGGTTAATTTGTGCATATAAAGCCTTTTTTAAATCAATTTAGCTCTGATAATTCTCTTTCTCTGACTGTTTTGCTCAGGTCATTTCCTTATCTGTTTGCTCTGATTAAGCTTTAGGTATCTCTTACTGTTGACTCAGCTCCTTCCACAGTGACCTGACCTCTGGCACATCAGTGTAGCCCCACACTTTTAAAAACCACCCATTATTGTGTTAAATCTGCATTTTGTTTTTGTTTTTTTACATTTCACTTCAATTGTGAGAAGTCTGTCAGTGAAATTAGGAGGAAAAGGCATTTTTCTGCAAACAGACGCCCTGATGAGGGAGGAAAGGGGTGCTTTAGAGACTTAAATATGAAGGCACAGTGTGAATATATCATTCTTTGTGTGACTGATATTCTATTTGAATGAGCTGTTTGTTCAGTTTGCGCATATATCTCACATCAAATCATAAAAATAGACAGTTTGTGTTCCTAACCTTTGGTGTTTCTATGGTGTGAAGTGATCAAAACAGCTTTTTTATAGTTTTATTGTTTTACTCCAAAGGAAATCATGATTTCAGTACTTGAAGTAGAGTGCTGCTGCTCTGTTTGTATTTTACCTGTTGAGGCTACATGGGTAGGTGTACAGACTTGTAACAATCACTTGACCTTTGCATAATAACCACATCCTTACACGAGCCACTGATCACAAGAAGCACAGCCTTCCTAAGAGGTCACTTCTCTGTTTTTGTGTTAATACAGCTGCTGTAGCATGGTTGTGGTTTGTGGGCTCTAGAGCGATGTTTCTCTTCATGCTCTCCTGTCAGTTGGCTCTTTTAGTGATAAGCTACGTTTCTTGGTAAACAGTCAAGCCAAAAGAACGGTGCTCTTAGCACATTGCAGCAATGATGAAACCAAATCACTTTGTTGTAGATTAGACTATTTGACATCCTTTGTATCCACAGGAGGAGTATATCAAACAAAAGGCCATGTTGAGAATCTTAGAAGGTTCCTGTGGTGTTGAAAATAACACTGAAGAGCGGTGGACGTATGTGACTTATCAGAAAGACGTTTTCAGAGAAGGGGAGTTGGAGCTTTATGCCTCAGTGTGTTTGCGTGGACATGTTTCTTCCATTATTGACTCATGTTTGCTGTGGCCATTTGATTAGTCAGCAGTAGTTGGGGCTACTGGAGGACAGATGCCGCTATCTTCCTTCACAGTCAGCACTTAATGCTCTTGTCTAGTAGATGTGAAATACCTGCCTGGGAGGCAGAGCACATAATCTATAATTGACAATAATATTAGATGAAAAAAAATAATTTTCGGATGTGGTGCCCATATGAAAGACTATTGACTGTTGTGATCACCTTACTTTACTAACCAGATGTGTTTCTTGCTACCAGGCAAGGCCAGCAACAAACGTTAAACTGCAGCAGTGGCAATGTGCAAAGTCATCTGACTTCCCCACCTGACTTCACCCTGTCGGGTTGTTAGCATAGCTAGCAGGCTGAACGTTCATAGACAACTGGATCTTGTGCATTGTTATCAAAATAAAAATGATCTCTTTCATTTTATAGGACTGTTGTTGTTGGTTATAACATAATCAGAATCAGGTAAACTTTATTAATCCCAGAGGGAAATTGAGTTGTCACAGCAGCAAATATACAGCAAACATCAAGAAGATTACTTCGGGGGGTGCCTCTTGTGAATCTTTGCCCAGGGTCTCAACAAATTTAAGAACCGCCACTGTTATTAACACTATAGGTGCCATTTAAAATGTATTCAATGTAATATCTTGGAGTTATTCGTGGTTCCCAGTGGATGAATCAGTGTGGCTTTTAATTTCACATATGTGTACTGGCTCTTTTTTTAAAGAAAAATTTTAAGATTTTGAGATTGGAAGCTTAATCCCAAACTGTAGAAACAGCAACCAAGGAAATGCACTGTTGAGTTTATCCATTTACTCTAAATCAGTATGATGATGATGCACCCTACCTTGTGGGAAGATCCTACTGTGTGTTTCATTAATTCAATCTATATTGAGGATGCGTTTGAATAAAATATATCACAATAGAGGTGGAAGACATTTAGTAACATCCCACAGATCATTCCATGTTTGTGCCCTCGTGCATAATCGAGCTCTTCTGCATGTGTTTAGCTAAAAGCAGCCTCTGGAGCTCAAGTGTCCTTGTGTTCCTCAGTGAATGAATGCACCAGCATTAGAATGACCCTGCAGTCATCAGATATTCACTAAGCCACGTTACCTTTCACCTCCTCTCATCACAGGGTGCATGCCAGTTTTTTCTGCACCACTCTGCCTTAAATATGAAATAACAGCTTTCTGTTGGTCTCGAACCAATGCCTAAGGGGTTTGAGACCAACAACAACAACAACACATCCGTCCTCCCATCCTCACTTTTCCTTTGAGTAGAGCTCAGTGACACACTCTTGTAACGGGAAACAGATTTCCAGTTCTGTTTACACTGAGTGTGCAGAGGCTTCAGCTGCTGTTGCAAACTTGCCCGCAGGACTCAAATAAAGAAAACACTCAGATGACTTTCGTTAAAGCTCCCTCCTCCACATATGAAGTATGTGGTAAATGCTGATTTGACTTGTATTGTTTTCCTTGCCTAATCAAAGACGAGTTGCTTTCCTCAATCAGTGCTCCTCTGTGTCCTCTGTCTATCTGTCTGACAACAGCAGAGTTTACCCAACAGCAGCGGTCTTATCGAGCACAAGGACAAAAATAGACTCCACATGAACTCAGTGGACTGTGTTTACCAGTAATTCACCAGAGGAGGCAGACTGATTAAAACTGTTACAGAGTTGCCCTGCACCATGCAGGGGGTTCAGTTTGGGTCTATTTCTGGTACTTGTTTACCCTGTATTGGGTTGTTTACTTGACCTTTGAAAGAGTTTCCTGGCTTTTTTGATCAGAAGCTCAGCTCTGAGAGGGGAGGGGTGGCTGTAAAAGCTCAGTATTCCAAGAACAATATCAGAAATAAGCTCTGAAAAAGCAAGCAAGTGTTCATTTCAGATCTCACCTCTAGAAATGTCTAGAAAACTGTGTCATTATGTTGCAAAATGGAAATACTGGGGAAAAAGTACATAAAATTCTGTCTGCTCTTATTTCCAACCAGAAAACAGCTCCAGCTTCAACTTCTCCAACACATCCACCCCTGCAGCCAAAGGTGCAGACGAAGAGTACTTGGAAATGAACAGCTGGCCCATCTGCAAAGACCAGGATGAGATGCTGAACCTGGCCTTTACTGTGGGTTCCTTCTTGCTGTCAGCCATAACTCTGCCCCTGGGTATTATCATGGACAAATACGGGCCGCGGAAGCTGCGACTGTTGGGGAGGTGAGCCCGTGAATCCTGCTGTCTGTTGGATAGTGATGGTTCTTTTCTTGTCCAACCTATTTTTCATAGCCAACTGCTTTGTCTTTCCAGTGCCTGCTTTGCCTTCTCCTGTCTTCTCATCGCCTATGGTGCCAGAGACCCCAACAGTACGTACCTCTACCTGTGTCACATACATCTCATTACATTATCACGGCTCATATGATGTATTAATGCTAATTAATCAGATACAGTATGTGAGATTCGTCATGTGTTGGCCTAGTAAGTTGGTCTAGTAACATCTGCGTGTGTTGCTTTCTCCGGTAGATCTGTCCATCCTGATCTTCTTCGCATTGGCATTGAATGGGTTTGGAGGCATGTGCATGACCTTCACTTCACTGACGGTAAGAGATACTTTATGAAGCTCACATATTGGGACATACTTAGCTTTGGTCTGAAGCGCTGCTTCATTCCTACTTCTCCACAAGTCTTGTTTTTTACTGGGCGGTGACTGTCATGAATGGGACAGAAAACTGCATGTATATAATCAGCAATCAAACAACAACAACAACAACAAAAAATAACTACATTTGCCCCAAAATAAGCTTTTGAGAACCCTTTTTCCACTGGACCTTTAGCTTTCACTTCATTGCTGGGGAATTCTTCCTTGGTATGGTTTCAGCATTTGTTCACTGTTGAGTCTCTCTCTTATTTGACTTGGTAGTTGCCTGCTGAGGCTGTAATCTCTGCAGGCCACTGTGTGGTTATAATATATTCTGTGAATGAAATGTTATGACTTGAACAGTGCATAGAGTTTTAAACATGAAACCTTCGGTCACGTTATCAGGATATCCTTCATAACTCATCAAGGCACGCTGAAGAATCCCTTCACCCTGCAAAATGTCTCATAGCTCTACAAATAAAGTGTCGTGGAATACCTCAGTGCTTTTCATTTATTAGGACAACAACCTCATTTTTCAAGGAAAGGTAGTGCTGCCAGCTTCTCCGCAATCCGACACTAAAATCTCCACTTCGTTGGCAATTACATGTAGTTTGTTTCCTCTCTGAATGACAGCCTGTACTAAATATCAGTGAGCCACAACATTGTGATATCTGGAGAAATGAAAAGGTATTAAAAGGGGACATGGAGGAAGAGAGTGAAGTGATGGCTTCAGACGTGCATACAAAGAAGTGAGGGGCAGAAAGATGGATGCATTCGACAGAGGAAACATTTAAAAAAGATGGCTGGAGGAAGAGCTGGAGAGAGACGGCTGACAACAGACTGCTTGGAGGAGAGGGATAAGAGGTAGTGTGCAGATAGGAGAAGGGTGGTGAGGGATGCAGTGACTGAGGATAGCCAGTGGTCAGGATGACCTCATCAGAGAAAGTGCTGCATCACAGGAGAGGACACGTGAGCAAGAGAGTTGTTACAAGGCAGAGAGCAGTGATCTATTATTCACTCCTGCTCTGGCTACGAGCCAAATAAAGACCTCTCCTCATTATTATTTCATCCACACGAGGACGTATGTGTGTATGTATGTGTGCACACGCGTGTATCACTTTGTTGCTTCATGGTAGCTACAGTATTTCTCTTCCTGCCTGAACAGCCGAGGTGGACTCTCTCAGAAAGGGCTCAAACAGGAAGTAGCAACAGGAGGGTAGTGTGTGTATGTGTGTCTGCCTTCTCCACCCATGCTTTTCCATTTCCTTTCCAGGCTGTGTATTAGGACCCTGACAGATACATGCACTAGCTGTTCAGCTGGTTTTATCTTGCTGCACTCCTCCCTCCACACCCCCCACACACACACTAGTCTGAGCCTGGCTGTTTTCATCTTCTCCTGTTTCAGTTTTAGCTGCTCTCACACGACCGTCGAAACTCTGTGTGTGTGTGTGTGTGTGTGTGTGTGTGTGTTATTTTAGCTGAGTTACCGCTCCCTGCAGGTCCAGACAAACATTTCAGTTATACTGCCACTTCTGTGTGTGTGAGTGTGTCTGTGTCAGGGTGTTTGCAGAGCTTAAAAAGCACATAATCGATAGATTCAGAAGGTCGTAGAAGATTTTTAAAACTTCTAAATTTAACCTTTTTAAAATTTTTATTGGTCCATGTTGCTAAGAAGTATTGAAAAATAAAACCTAATCATAAAAAAGTGGAGCCCCTGTAATTTAACTTGGTCAAATGCTGGGGAAACTGAGAAAGAGGCAAATAAAAAGTGCTGCTGTGTGAATGCTTATCTGTTTCCATTCTCTTTTTCCTGAAGGTCTGTGTGAAGGGTTGTGAGAGGAAAACTATAACCTTATTTTTCAGGGCGTGGAAAGCTCTCAAGCTGCATTTGGACTATCATAGGTCACCGAAACTCCTCAGGTCACCGTGACCTGTGCCATTTTCCCACTGTGTGTCTGTGCATGTTCCCAAAATCATCCCCTTCCTCTACTGTTTTACGTTTCTTTTTAGTCTCTGTTCATTTGGCTTCTCTCCTTCTTACTCTTTGTCTTTGCCTCAATTCTACATTCTACCCAAACTCTTTGTCCCAAGCTGTCGATGAAAACAGGCAGTGAAGGATGAGCACAGGAGACAATAGAGAGGAAGGGAGCTGTGGTTAATAATGACTTTCTCTCTGCTTACAGTCTTGACTTGTAAGCAGTTTCATGTTACAAACCCCTCTACATACATATACATATACATACTGTAAAACCACACCCACAGGCACACGCCAAGCTCCGCCTCTTGTTTTTGTCTGGCTGGTGGGACATTTCGTATCCCACCCTGTTTGCTAAGTTTCAATCTGAAGCTCTGCTCAAAAATCAGCTTTTTGTCCAATGTCTTGAATGCACAGACTGTTTCTCTATCTGAAAACACATTTATTTACCAGCAAGCTCTCTGACTTGTGGTCATAGCTGCGAAATGTAAATGTTCTCTTCACTGAGTCACTTTCCAACTTTGAGATGTGGCTAAAGGAGAAACGGGGAGTGATTTCTTCTCAGTTGGACAATGTGTAAAGTGCGCACACAGCACTTCATTCCACCCGCTGAAGTGATAGGAGTTGTAACAAAAAGCAGTAAGATCAGGCTGGAGTGAGATGGAGGAAGCACAGTATACTATATAAATTGTTTACAGCACAAAACGTAGGGGAACAATGTTGGAGTGAAAAAGGTCAGGAGTTATTCAGTAATGTGAGATGGAAGCTGGCCAGACAGAGCAGCTATCGCTAATATCGAGTGTTACGTAGCGACATGAATGGTCTGATCGGGGTGGCTGAGGGGCTGGAATGACTGCAATGTTGGATCTTAATGTTAGCTCAGAGACATCCCCACCCTTCCAAAGTCATATTTCTGGTGGAAACATTGCTGGCTTTGTTGTTTGCTGGTTTCACCCCTAAATATGTTTAGAAAAAGAAATTGACTTCTAATAAGCGAGAGAGCGAGATGACGTCAGGTTGAATGAAGTATGCCTTTTGGTGTTTGTCATCTGGTGTTTGCTGTTCTTATGGTCCACTTGGCTGCTCTTTATGACTATCCTGTGTTTCAGGACAGGACCAGTCAGAGCTGGTTCTCAATGGTCAAGCAGCATCAGGGTGCTGAAGTTTCCACTTGCTGCAGCAAAACCCTCTTCCTCCTTTCATTTCTCTGTTCTTTCCTCTCAGAGGGCTGAATCGAATTTTCTCTTCTTTTTTTTCTGCACGAAAGACTCAGCATATTTTCCCACTCCTCACCCAGACGTCTTTGTCACGTCACACTGCCTTTTTCATTTCAGTTTTAAACACTCAGCGCAAACAGACACACACTCCTGGTGGCGTACAAACTATGCGCAAAAGTGTGCCGTGGCCAAAAAATTTCAATGACAGAATGTTTGCACGGTCCAGTGATAAGACAGTAGATGCAGACTGTAGTCTTACTCAGTTGCCTGAGTCAGTCTTGCCCGAAGCCCCTCTGATATATAATCAACAAACACGTAGAGTCTACTTATTATGTATAAGTGGGTCACAGCTCCTCTGTTTGCACTCACTACATTCAGCACTGTCACCAAATAACAATGAGTGAGCGCTGTCCAGGTTACAGCGCGCCTGTGCGTTTGTTTGAAGCAAACATTATTAAAAAAAAGTTTTACAGTATTGACTCACACAGGTATGCTAGCAAATCTGTACTGTTGTCATAAGGTAGAGCTAAATGCTAATGTTAATATTTGCTAATAAACAAGTAGAGTTAAAGTGTGTTTAAAATTTAACAGCTGAAGCACATCGAGTATTATGGTCGGGGGTTTTTTCGGGCAATTTTTCTAAAGATTTATGATGTTACATGCCTAACATAAAGTTATTTTGGGAATACTGTTTTTTCTATTTAAACCTTTTCCATTTGGGTGTGTTAATAAAAAAAATGGTTTTAAATCACTGATGATGGCAGATTGTTTATTTAAAATGTTAAACGTTATATTTTTCTATCGGACACAGACTGAAATGTATCCATCTAACTTGACTCTGTTTCATTACCTTTGCTTACATTATCCATTGCAAACTCCTTCAACTTTGCTCAGATCTGTTTGCTGGTCTTTTAAGTGCTGTACTAAATTGGAAAGCTCAGTAACATTGTTTGCACATTGGCTTTTGCAAATCAAATCAGGATGCCCCCCTGGTCATAAAACACTTCTTAGCCCATTCCGCCTGCCTTATCAACAAAATAATGCAATGCTAACGTGGCCGCTGCATAGGTCCCCAACTTCCATGTGTAGTTTTTGCTATACTTCAGGATGTAAGGATAGACAAGAACACTTGCCAAAGGTAACTACTATACTAAAAAAACACAAGAATCAAGAACCAATTCCAGTTATCCAACTGATTTAAACCCTATGCTTCTAGCCCATGCAATTTCTTTCATCAGTGCTAGCCTGTGTTGTTGAAGTTGTGCGTGGCTTAACAGTGATGCTAAGCTGTTAGCGTGCCTTTAAATAATCCACCTGTTTGTATCAAGCCTCAGTGATAAAAGGGTTGTTCTGATGCAAAAAAAACAAACAACCTCTGTAGTCCTTGAGGCTAGCCAAAAAGGAGCATTTGTCAAAGAAACATTTCTTTTCACTCACATAAATCACACTGATGATATTGACAGCTTGCTGAAATGATAAGTGAAATGATAAGTTATATGGATACCCTTCAAACAAAAACCCAAACGCCCACTCTTTGCTTTCATATTTGTGTCTCTAGATATATTGGCGTTTTATAGTTGTCTTTATGTTTACGCCATTTATTAAGCACGTGCATTACCAAAAAAATAAATAAAACCGACACACCTGCTGAACCCAATAACCAGTCCCTGATCTCTTATCTCCAGGTCACTGCTCTGAAGATAAAATAGACCTTCAGTGGCTGTTCAAATACAGGGCCCATCATCTATGTGTGTACTTTGTGCAGGGATACACTGTGACCATAGAGCTAACAAAAGGGCTATTCAGGGACGAAGCAACAAGAGCGGTTAGTGATGGGTGTTATTACCTTCAGAGAGGTATAAGGTTGCTCTCAGTCTGTTCCTGCACCACTCACAACAGAAATGAACACAGCAAGTGTGATATTTGTGATGACGTGGAGATTAGAAAACTAATAGAAGTAGTAAGGGATTAGCAAAGCCTGTATTTAGTGAAGTAGAAAGGTGAGGACAGAGGTGAAATTTCCAGAGCAAACACTGGGAAGGTGTTGGATCAAGAACTACGTGATCACATACTGTACCTTGAAGGCCGAGAAACATAGGCAACACATTCCTCTGATGATTAGAAAAAGCACCAAAACAAGCGGCTGTTCTCTGAAGTCTTACAGGGACTGGGACTGAAAAACACACACAGATTTTTAGCTAGCTTAACAAACATCTGTTGAATGGATTGCCAAAAAGTGTTCGGCAGATATACTATACCCTATGGCTGACATTTAACAGTATGAATACAATTTTCAAGCCATTATCTATCATAATTAGGTTGTAAATATTATCTGTCAAGTTGGAATTGCAACTAAAACATTTTTATGAAAACTCTCATGTCATCTGACTTGGTGTTAAAAAGTACTGCATGAAGAGTCAGCTGCTTTTTTATCACTTTCATGATCAAGAGCTGGTTCATATATACAGACTTAATGAATCCCCTTTGAGAAAAATGTGTGTTTATACTGCGTCACAAATTTGTGATCACAGGAGCATACTTTTGTCTGTTGTTGAGAGGCCATTTACAGTTACAGTGTGTCTGTTAGCACGTGAGGCCACAGCTGATTCTTTGGTCAGTCTGCCTGACTTAAGTGTTATTGACTGCAGTTACGGAAACTCTGCTATCTCTTCCTCATCGAGCCCGACAGCTGCTTCTCCCATCGACGCACCCGCCCACACTTTGTCCTCACGCTGCTGAACCCATTAATCCCTACTTCTCCTTTCATGATTAGCAGACCAAACCAGTTTGTGACATGTTTTTGGAAAAGAGTGGTCTCAGCAGCTGACTCTGACTAAGAACTAGAGTCAGTCACAGAAACTCCCAGTGTGACGTAAGCTTGTTTTGCTCAGCAGTATCACAAGCACTAGATCTGTTATGTTTCTTTTTTCTTTTTTTCCCACTGCTTCGGGCTTGCTACCATTCACTCACGTGATTTTGTTTTCTCCCACTTTTAAGTGTGCTCACCGAAGTTAATGCCAATGATAACAGTTCCGTTCACCAGACAAAAAAGGTGAATGGCAGAAAAGTCAGGGACTGACTTATCAACACTGCAGTGGGCTTGTTCCTTTTTTAACTGTACTGAATATTTGGTAACTGAATGGGGAGCTATTTATTTGAACTAGGGATTAAGGGCCTGGATTAAAATAATTTATTAGAGAATCTGCCCCCCAGAGTGATTTCTGTTGTCCTTAAACACCCTGCTTATAATGAAATAATGGAGGATTACATTGAATTACTTTTTCCTTGATAATTTCCATTCAGTTGCTTAAATCAAAGCTCTTCCCATGATTTACAATATAATAACAGAACTCTTGCAAAAGTCTGGCATAAAAAGAGCCATCATCACAGGCCAGAGTGAGGAAGTGCTGCAGCGTCAGCAGGGAAATCTGAACCTGTTGACTGCATAGATTTGTGAGCGGGCTGCCATCATCGTGACACAGAATCTGCTGAGACGGGGATCTACATGTCCTCTGTCTCTTCTTCACCAAGCGAGCCAAAGGTCAGCCAACTTGCTCCCTTGTAGCGCAGGAATTTGGGGGGGGCTTGTTGTTTTGGATGACCTGGCTGGGGTGTAGTGATTTTTTTTGTAGCTCACCTTTGCTCCAATTAGTGCAGGGAGTAACGTCCATATGGGGTGAGGGGGTTCGAGCAGCTGGCTAACAAGCTTCGCCCCTGTGGCGAGCACAGTGCCTCGATGGACGGGTGGATGGACAGATGAGGACAATGAGAGGGGAGCTGGAGGGAAGCGCCTCCGCTATTTATGACCCATAATAACGCTTTCAGTGATGAGTTACAGTCAAATTTTGAACTCCCTGCCCATGCTTGTTCACTGTGGGAGCTTCCTTTCAATGCTTTTGACTCTAGAATTTGATTTCCTCTCTCCTATATAGCACTTTGAATCCAGATGGCACAGATGAACTCTGACCTACATCAGACCAGTCAGCCACATGGTGCTCTCATGTTCACACTGTTTTTCACTTCCTCAAGACGGCTGTTTACACTCTGAAGTTACCTAGTAAAGGAACAGGGCGTACACTTATTTCTCGTCAAGAGCTGAGTGTCATTATGCAAGGCCCGAGCTTTTTTTGTCTCTGCTCTTCTGCAGATCTCGGAACAAAAACTCATCAATGCAGGCAGTACAGAGTGTGCAAATACTTGGTGGGGACAAGACTATCACCAGTCAATATTTGTGAGCAGCAGATTAAACTATTCGCCATTTGTATGCAGTGTGCTGCATTCTTTCACAGTCAGTGGCCATTTGCAGGTCTAAGTGGATTGAAGGACAAAATATGACAACAAAGATTATTGCGCAACCTAATATGCTGCCCACAGAGCAGAAATGAAGCTAATCCAATTATAGATGGGTAATAGATGTCATTTTGGCTGCAGCAGCTCCACTGCTGGAGGTTAATGGGCTGTGATACATGTGAGTTTAGTTCAATGCTGTAACTTTTCCTGATCAGTACAGCCTGTTTCCTCAGGCACCAATTCAAGTATAAGGTAGCAAATGCTAAAATGTAGCGTAGCATAGCGGTTTGCTGAGATTAGCCCACATGAGCTAATATTACTCACAGTGAAAACAGATTCATGGTGTGCTGTCATTAAAAACTTTCATTTGCAGCAGAAGACATGAACTGTTCAGCATTTTGATCATCTGCCTTTACAAATGTAGAACGTGGACGACAGGGCTGAGCACGAGCTCTATAGAAACAAGTATTATATTGCTGTAAAGAGACATGCCTGCCTGAATGTACTTGAGTGGTGGATCACGGGAAATAGTCAAAGGAGCTTGCAAAGAAAAGCGTCTGGACTTCTTTAAGTTACTTGAAGACGTTTCACCTCTCATCCGAGAAGCTTCTTCAGTTCTAAGGTCAAATGGTGGAGAGTCCCAGAAAGATAAAACGCCAAAACACAGACTTAACAATGTGGTGTATGCTGTACAGTGCAGCGAGGAATGCCCAGACCTCTACATTGGAGAGACCAAACAGCCACTTCACAAGTGCATGGCACAACATAGAAGAGCCACCTCCACAGGACAAGACTCAGCTGTCCATCTGCATCTTAAGGATAAAGGACACTCTTTCAAGGATGCCAATGTTCACATTTTGGACAGAGAGGACAGATGGTTTGAAAGAGGAGTGAAAGAAGCCATCTATGTCCACTGTGAGCGACCATCTTTGAACAGAGGCGGGGGTTTACGACACCAACTCTCTGCCATCTATAATCCAGTTTTGAGATCCCTTCCCAGACGCCTTAACGCCCACTCACATCCTGGGCCATCTGATCTCAGGAATTCGCATGATAAGGTGGGGCCAGGTTTCACAATGAACTCACCCGAAACTCTGGCTGATTGGGACCCACACCCAGTTTCACACCTTGGCTCAGGCGATTAGAGGATCATCAGGGGGTCCTTTTGTCCCTCTGTGGGGGGTTACTCCCACTAGGTTTATATCTGGGACTCTCCACCATTTGACCTTAGAACTGAAGAAGCTTCTCGGATGAGAGGTGAAACGTCTTCAAGTAACTTAAAGAAGTCCAGACGCTTTTCTTTGCAAGCTCCTTTGACTACGATGACCTGGATGACTGAGAACCTTCACAGACATCACGGGGAATAGTTCAGGGCTTTGCACACGCATGTAGTAGTTACTAGTCACAGGGTAGTCACACCTTACGCTGCTTTATCTTCTGTTTTGCTTTATATGGGACTGTCATTTGGAAGCAGACAACTTGAAAGTAGCGACTGAGCCCTTACAGATATTAGGAAAATGTTTGGTAAGTTTATTTCTCAAGCGAGTAGATGGCTGTTTTGCATTTGATTTGTTTTTGCAATGAGAGGAGTCGCCTCCTACTGGGCACTTTTCACACTCGAAAGCCTTCATCTATAACACAGCTAACGAGAAAGCTGTTTTATCTTTGTTTTTGTTTCGCAGTTTCTTCATGCTATGGATTATTGATTATTTTTTGTCCTCCTTTAAGCCCCTGGCCACTAGTTTTTGATAATGTAAATCATAGTTAGGTGACATAAAGAGGTCAAGCTTGACTGCTTTGCTTCTTATGAGTCTGTGGACATTTTGTGCATTTAAATGAACTTGGTCTTGCAGTTAAATGTGTAAACTGATCTGTCTGCTCTCTTCACAGCTGCCCAACATGTTTGGAGATCTGAGGTCGACCTTCATTGCCCTGATGATTGGATCCTATGCTTCCTCTGCTGTCACTTTCCCTGGCATCAAGGTAACTTACAGTCACTCACTTACTGTGGCTGATTCTTGATTTACTTTAAACATCCACGTGTCCTCATCCATGACTGAAAGATTTTCCTAAAGGGCAATATTAACTCAGAAGGAATAACCCTGCAACTGTAGAGTGTGTTATTGATTCTCCATTATGATGTTTTTGTGTGCGTCCCATCTTCCTGCCTGTAGGTGATCTATGATCTGGGTGCCACATTCATCTCCATCCTTCTGGTTTGGGCCGGCTGTGCCTGCCTCGTCTTCTTGAACTGCTTCATCAACTGGCCTTTGGAGCCCTTCCCTGGCCCAGAAGACATGGACTTCACGTAAGACAAACAGGCATACTTAGTCTGGCATGCACACAAAGCCGCATGAACATATGTGTAGCTTCCAGCTATTGTTTTTAAGCAGCCACTGCAGTATTATTAGCTAAGCTCGAGTTATACCTGCTTGAAAAAGGATTCTGACTGAGCCTAGGGATTCTGGATTTTCCACACAGATCACTGCTTTACCTCATACACACTGCAAGATTGTATACACGTACAAGCGCACACACTTATGTGCAGTAAATCCCAAAATAATGCAGTGGAGACCAAGTGAGCCCTAAAGGGGAAAGAACATAAAACCAGATGATCGGCCTACTTTGCTCTCATTCACCTGGATCTTTTAATGTTTCCTTAGCCTGTTTTCCTTTTCCTTTAGGTGTCTGCTTACATTTCCCCTTCTTTCTTACTTTCCTTTCTCAGGGTGAAAATCAAATTCAGCTGGCTGGGATTTGACCATAAGATCACCGGGAAGCAGTTTTATCGGCAGGTGACCACAGTGGGACGCCGTCTGAGCGTAGGCCATGCCATAAAGCAGCAGGAGGCACCCTCCAAAGAGCTGTCCACACAAGAGGCCAACAAGCTGTGCCTGTCCACTGTTGACCTGGAGGTGAATTGCAAGAGTCAGGAGGAAAGTAAGTCTGAATATGCTCTAACATCTAAAGTCTGTTATATAAAGACAGGATGAACTTAAAATAGAAACTAGTTGAATTGGAGCAACAGTTATGTTTCTTGAAAGACTGTAAAAGCCCATTCACAGTTTTTAGCAGTGGCTTTCTTTGCCATCTGGTCGTCAAAACTGGAATCTAAGCAAGCTGCCGACAGAATATAACTGCTGTCTGTAAAAGGAAGAAATCCAAAAACATGCACAAGTCAGCACAAGTGTACCTTGTGATCAAATTAGTCATTCTTGAGTAGATACTAGCTTATGAATATTCTCACAACTCAATAGTCAGTCAGTTGGTGCAGTTAGACTTGAAACGGACTGAGCAAAAGAGGTGCTAAGTGTGTTAGGTTTGCCAGTAATCAAGTCATAAAAGTGTATCTCTTCTCTTTGAAAGGACTGATGCCAAGTGGAATCCCACATAAATAAAATAAATCCCACTGATATGAAAAGTAAAGACTTGAATTCCATTGTTATAGCGTAGGTAAGTGCAAAGTGTTATAGAACTTTTAAAAATTAACTTAATGTCCTTACTGTGTGCTTTGAATCATAAATCCAAGTTAAAATATAGACAATAGACTTATTAATATACTTAAAATTTTGTAATTTATTTTGGCAATGAATATTATTTACATAGAATATTTAACAATGTATTTCAGATGAAGTTTAAAAGTGTGAAATTTTTTAAAAAGGCTAACACTTCTGTTAGTTTTTACATTTTTAAAATGTGATAACACTGTATGTAGTGTTTTAGGTTGGTTGGCAAAAAAATATCACGTCCATTCTAAGGTAACCTCTGTTACCCATGCACTTTTTCAGTCCCTCCTGGCTTTTCTAACAGGGTCAGGGACTCCCAGTGGGTTAGTCTTGTCACACCTCTCTCGGTCTCTTTGGTACCAAACGGACCGTGGAATCGGTTCAGACCCTGTTCTTAGAAAGGGGCTCAGCAGGTGTGTGTCGCGCTGGCAGGGAGCCCTAGAGAAGCACTGCGGTGGACTGTATCAGCCATTACAGTGAATTTCTGACTGTGTGTGTGTTTGGAGTGCATTCAGGATGCCCGTGGCTGGTTTCATAACAGCTGGACATGTCGGGATGTTTAAAGAGGCCCATATTACACCCTTGAACACAACCTTGTTCCTCTCTCTGTTTGCTGTAAGTTGAAGCAGCTGTGAGGGTTGCAGAGTACATGCATCTTAGGCCTTGGCCTATTCCTCCTGCCTCCTCAGATATAAGGATCAAGGTCAGATTCAAATGTTTGTGTTTTCTGTTAGGAATGCACTTAAATCATGTATCTGGACCGGCACAGTCAGCACTTGTTTGGTATGTTAAGTACACTTTGTACTAGAGCTGTAGACAGAGAATGAAGGCCAAAGAACTTTTTGTAAATAAATTGGTAGATTTTGTAAATGTTGAAATGAAATATAAGCTAGTTTTAGATTAACAGCTGTATTCTCTTATAAATTATTTTAGTGCTCTATGAGCATTTTCAAACAATTAAGTCCAGGATAGATACCTGTTGTTGAAGACAATGAACCCATCTGCTTCATCTGGGTACCCATCATTAGTTGGTGTGTCCGGGGTTTCTCTGTATGGACAGCTGTCCATTTTCCACTTCTATCCACAGCATTCATTAATGATCAACGTTTCCTAGAACCCGCTTTCCTTTGAATCCTCCAGACGTTCATTCACATTAAGATGTCACCATAACACCTGGGTGCCAGTGGGAAAATTTACATGTCAGTCTCATCCGTTCCTCTCAGCCAGTGGAGTTTTCCATCTGTTTAGAAAGTGAAAAGAGACTCTGCATGTTTGACCATCTGTACTTTAGATGAAAGTTTGTTGGTGCTGATAGTGGAGGCTTCAAACAAGGTCATCATCATGTAGGTTGTTTGTCAGGATGCTATGAATACACTCATACGTTGCTATTTTTTATTGAAATGAGCGATCTTTTTTTTCTTTTAAAAAAATCAGTTTCCTGGAAATGTTGTAAACATCACAATCGCTGTAACAGCAGTCTGACATCTTCGGCATAGTGAATTACCTACTCATCCATTGTAGTGATTGTCATGAAATTTGGCAGACGTCGTAGTCTTGCCAGGATGAATTGTAAAGACTTGTAAAAACAGGCCAACGTATCAGTCAGCCCGGTACATTCAGAACTAATGAACATCACATCAGCCTCAGCTGTGCTCCTGTTTGATTAGCAAACATTTGAATGCTAACATTAACACTCAGCGAACCAGCAATGAACTTAGAGCCTGATATAGGTCGATATTGACTGATACTGGCCTAGTTGACTGATATGATATGAATAGCAATGAGAAAAGAAACAAATATGGTAAATACATCTCTTGGTATTGGCTCAGGATTTTAGTGCATCCCTGCTAGCGCAGTAAATTATTTTCATAAAGTGGTAAACAGTACACCTTTATGCTGACTCATTATGCAAATTAGCACAGTCATGTTGGACTTTCATCTCAAAGCACTGCTGTGCCTAAAGTCATCCTCAGTGTACCACAACTTAGGCCTCATATATTTTATGATTTTTTTTTTTACCACTGAACACTTGAAAACTGATTATCATGTCCCACAAGCAATGAACAGTTGATCTTAGTCCTTACATTGACTTTTGCTCTTAGTGTTTCCTACATCGTGCACAGATAAAGTTGATTTTGCAAACATCTTCTGATGCAGGCAGTGTCATAAAAATAGATTATAGAACTTTCTGCTCCGTAAAAGGATTTGGATGTTTCCCTAAAGGCCTGTGAAGCTTTTTGGTTTTTCCACTGAATAATTCCCCTACCACGAGATTTCAACTGTGTACAGAAGGAAATAAAATCTCCTTATCCAATATTTTTGGTTAATATCTTTGTGGTATATTAACACAGTGATTTGATCTCACCCTGACTTCTCTCATTTCCTCTGCAGCTCAGAGCTTCATGAAGAGTATCTTCAGTCCCATCTTCTTGCTGAGCCTTATCACCATGTGTGTGACTCAGCTGCGCCTCATATTCTACATGGGAGCCATGAACACTATCCTGGAGTCCCTAACAGGCAGAGACCTCAGCACAGGTGTGTGTGGTTGTTAGTGTGTCAAGCTATACATGTTTTGAGAGTGGTTGCGTTTTTATCTTTAACACCTCTTTGACATCTCTGTCATGCTGGCTTCCTGCTGTTGCAGTGGAGAGGATGGAAGTGGGTAAGAGACCTGAGGCCACACTAGCAACCCTCTGCCCCCCTCCCTACCCTAAACTGTTTGTCCACTTTTTTGTCTAGAGCATGACCCTGCCCCCCCAATAACTCCATGACATCTGCAAACTGTTTTTCCATTCCTGTCAGTGTGCACCACCCTCTGATGTCTTCATACTGTTTACCGGATGTTCACCCTGAAACCGTATTAACGCTGCCTCTGCCGCTGTTTGTCTCCTAGTGAGCGTGTACACCTCCATCTTTGGCGTGCTCCAGCTCCTATGTCTGGTCACCTCTCCTGTCATTGGCTACGTCATGGACTGGAAGCTTAAAGACTGTGAGGATGAAAACGACAAGAGCACCAAGAGGTCAGCGTGCGCGCTAAGGAGGAACAAATAATTCTATTTTTCTCAATTTTTTTTAAATGTTTTCTTCTTTTGTTCTATCAGAGAGCCTGGGCAGCCCCGTCGCCCTGACAAACGAATCCAGAAGATCGTCAATGCCACCAGAGCTTTTATCTTCACCAACATACTCCTTGTTGGCTTTGGAGTCACCTGCATCATCCCCAACCTCCCACTTCAGGTATGCAGTAGGAGGCTGGGGGAGCCATTTTATTGAAGTGTTTAGGTGGTGTGGGTTCACGCTCCTCTGCATGTGCTGCTGCTGTACGTCTCCCCTAGAGGGAGACTAAACACTGCAGAGAGAGAGAGTGATGTACATGATATTCAAACCACTCACATGGCAATGCAGCTGCTGATATTTCTAAGTGATGTGGAGCCACCTAATGGACAAAAATGTTGTTGCAGTTTATTTTGTTCTCTCTTGAATCTCATTTGTCAAAGACAAACCCTTTTGTTTTTCAGTGAAAACCCAGCAGGTCGGCCCTGAGCATGTATTTACTGTAAAAATCTTTCTTTTCCTCTTTTCTCTCCTACTTCAGGTTGTCTCCTTTGTCCTGCACACTATTGTGAGAGGCTTCATCCACTCTGCAGTTGGCGGGCTTTATGCTGCTGTGTAAGTGTGTGACACGTTTAAAAGATGATGGCAAACCAGTAAGGAATCATGCAGCCTAATGCTGTCCTACACTAGATACAGAAAGTGACTAAAAATAAGTGAATTTTAGGCATTTCTTCTTCTGTCCTTCTGTGCCAGCAATCACTCTTTTTGGACAACTTTCCACAAGATTCTGGACATAAAGCCTGTGGGCCAGAATTGGTCCAGCAAAGACAAAATGAAGGAGGGCATAAATTTTGTCCCGCTTTTCCTATTAATAAAGACCCCCTCCCTCATTGCCATTCATACTACTAAATTAAGATAAACAAGTGATAGAAAATTTGTCTACTATAAAAAGATGTCTTCTTTTTTAACACTTTTTTCCACTGTTTAAAAAAAAAACATTTTATGCAAATTAACAAAAACTTTATAAAACTGTATATTTTATATTTACTGGGCATTCTGGGCAGTGTGCTATGGGATTTTTTTTTTTTTTGTAATTTTACATTTTACCATTTTTGATAATTTCTCGGATTCTGCCACTTAAGATTAAAGTAGGCTGTATATAGCCCACAATGCAACATGTTTTTGACATTCCCGTATTAGAGCAAAAAAAGAAGTCCACCACTGCTGTTAAGCGATGAAGTCTGGCTCGCAGTCACATGTTCTTAGTATTTAACACTAAACTTTCACACTACAGTTACTTTGGTCAAAAAAACAACCCAACTATCATCTAATGTTTGAAATTATAAGCAAAAAATGTATTCTGAAAAATGTAAAACAAAAGCTGTCAAGCTAACCAAATCTGATGTGAAAAAAAAAAAGAATAAAACTGTCTTCACCTAAAATGGATTCTGTTTATAAATCTGTTAAAACTGGAAAAACAGTTTCTTCCGTATAGATATTATATTTGCAGTAAATAGCACTCCACATAATTAAAAATGGACTATAAGCATGTAAAAGAAGTGACTATATATATGTATAGACATTGCATATTTATTATGGAGATATGCAAATGGCTATTATAATTACGTAGTTTAGGTGAGGTGTTCTCACACTTTGGCCTGTAGCAGCCACATGTTCTTGCCTGTTGACCTGCGACTGTGTGCAGGGTGATAAGAGCTCAAAAATCTTATGAAAAATTTCCAAATGACTGCAGCTGGAGATTAGCTGACACTGCCGCATTTAGAGAAAATGATGATTGGGCATTTTTCTTGGAATGAAATAAAATACCTCTGAGTTGCAGGAACAGTATTATCCAAAATGAGCCTACACAGGATGTGAATATTACATAACAGTGTGTCTGGGGGCATGCGATATATAACTGGCTGTGAATTTGTTTTTAATTTGACTCACTGTAAATTGATTTAATGGGCCTGATAGTTCACTCAGGTTAGTTATGTGACAAATGTGTTCAAATTTCCCATATGACTCATGCTGTTTATCCCCTGCAGGTATCCATCCTCGCAGTTTGGCAGCCTGACAGGCATGCAGTCTCTGATCAGCGCTCTGTTCGCCCTGCTCCAGCAACCTCTCTTCATGGCCATGGTGGGACCCCTGGAGGAAGACCCCCTATGGGTAAGATGATGCACATATAGAGATACTGGCTTTAAAGAGTGTAGTATTCAAAGTTTACCATATCATTCTATCTAACTGCTTTACTCACGCGGTGCCCAGGTGAACGTGGGTCTCCTGGTGCTGAGCATGCTGGGTTTCTGCCTGCCCTTCTACCTGCTGTACCACAGCCGCCAGCTCCAGCGCCTCCGAGACGAACGTGACAAAGATCCCAAGATCTACGTTAAGATGAACAACGGCAGCACGCCCGAGGCCTGCGTGTAGACGGGCATGAAGACGATTTTTACAAAGTAGATGAGCTACACTAAAGATGGAGGGGACTGAGGTCACGTTACTGTGGGACATGTGACGAACGAATTCACTCTGAGACCGCCGCACCTCACACTCACAAATCTTACATTCCGCATGCTCACACAGATGCACACACTTCCACCATCATACTGACACCCATATGTGACTGAACACCACTGTGACACCTCCTTCACCCTCTCTGTGAAGAACCCCTAACACACACACACACACACACACACATTCTTTCCACATGGAGAGCTTTCAGTTCCTTGACTTCACCCGTGAACTGAGGAGAAAACTGACTAAAGGGAGAGAAAAGAAGCAGCTGCTTCAACCTCCCCAAAGGTTCCTCCTCTCTCTTTTTTCTTCATGTCTGCCATTTTGTATTTCATGCTGGTTTAGCTTCTCCTAGTCCTACTCAAGAGACCACAGGAGAAGAAGATGCCAAAACAAATGTTAGTGGCAGTGTTCAAAGGTTTTAGACATTTGCTTTATGATTGCCCAGGATGGTCTGGTTTTTGTTTCGGTGAGAAGAAGCACACATACTCAGACCCACTCAGCACGGAGATGCTGGGCCACGACATCTCCGTGCTCTCTTGTGCACAAGGGCATTAACTCAATAAGAACCCACAGACAGCAGCACTGGTAGCAGTTTAGATGGAAACCTGGACAGGTTTGAGCTCAGCGCACGATACATAGCCTCAGTGTGTGCGTGACTGGGTTAGACACACACTGCATGATGCCAGCGATGGTGCTGGTCCATTATTACTGTTGCCATTATTTTCTTTTGTTTTGTTTCTTTGTCCATATGTTTGAAATATGTAACCTTTTTTTGTATTTACTTGCAATATGATCTTGTGTGTTAGGTGTTTATTTCTTTTGCATGATCTCAAGCTATTAAGGTGGAAATGATTTTAGACATATTGTGTTTTCAAAGGTTGGTGTGGTAGCTAGGTGAATTTTAGGATCTTGATTGGTTGTAGCAATAAGTCTTCAGCGAGGTATAACATGCTGAAATCCAGACAGACAGGACATTCAGTGGACTGCATTTCCAAATCACAAAAAGGTGCTAGTTTAATCACAGAAATGTGTCCGTTGCATTTGCTTTAAGGCACTGTTAAGGTCATCAGATTACCAACTTAAGGCATGTTCCAAAGAATCAGTCAGATTATGTTTTGCTTGGTATCACTTCTGCTCGGTCACACAAACTCTGGGATTCTTGAATTCACCTCTTACAGACAAAGGGAGATTTAGCTTGATGGTAGCAGAGTGAAACAGACACAATCTTCCAGCTTCTGAGGAAAGACACCAGCGTTCTGAGACTAAGTACAGACAATAAAGCAGTCTTTGTCTTTCAAGCAGAAGCCCAGAACAGAAGCATGGAGTGTGTAGACGATGGAGCAGGGAGATAATAATTCAATCTGCTGTCCTCAAATGTCATACAGAGAAGCTCCTCTGACACGCCCCGCCCCCAACTTGCAGTACGGTGACAGAGGCACATCCAAAGACAGCCTCATGACCCTCAGAGTTCCTCACTGTGATAGGGGTAGTGGATCTGGGTAGCATTTAGCCCCGCTCTTCCTCCCATCTAGCCATCATCCATTCATCTATCCTTTCATCTGTGCTACCTACTCAAGCACACCTTAAAATGTTTACTGACAGAACTGAGAGACAAAGCTCTGCAGCCATCATATGCTCCCAGCGAATGACTTCATTAAGACAAGAATGGCACACGATGCACTTTAGAGCCTCTAAAATGGACCTGCCTGCCCATGTATCTATCACACAGTGCATGGCTGCTTATGGATGGTGCATGATGCAAAGAATGTAGACTGAACTTAAAATCTAGATTTGTAATTTACAATTCAGTTATTTTTGTATAATGCCCTTGCTTCACACGATCCTTTTATTGCCTTTTTGTGCTTGGACAGTGGGGCAGAGACTCGTCTTTCAGTTCTGCAACCTTCACAGGACGAACCAGTCGCAACAATCTCATCCTTGATGAACTAATTAAGGTTTAAAGAATCAGTAGAAGACTGTATGGGTTAAAGTTGGTGCAGAAATGATTTTAGTTGGATGATAGGGAAAAAGTGTGCATTTGTAATTAAAGGTGTTTGCATCTCTTTATCTAACTGAATGGTGGCCTTTTTGGTCATATATTACAATCCTGACTGACTGTATTTCCATAAATGCAGATCTTATTTCATACGTCCACATGTCTTGTTGTTTGGAGCAGTTAGCTAGCACAAAAGGTATTGGATATATCAGACCTGAACAGATCTAAATATTTATCATTCTGCCATCTTTATTTGTATTTTGTAAATTCAGATCCACACAAAGACAACCTCTCAATAACAGTTTTGTGCTTGTGGGATAAAACACAATGGATTTTTTTTAAAAATGGAAATGTAAAGAATGTAAAGTCAGTGCTCATATCTTCACTTACAAATGTACAGTTTTATTTGTGGTACAGTTGTCCTTCATATGATTAAAGCCCTATCTGGACTCCATAGAGAGTGCCTCTGGTAGCATGCTGGTGTTTCCTGTAACTTAAAGAAGTGTCCTCTGAGTACAAGCTTGTGCAGGAATAACATCACATGTAAATGTCATGTGAAGACAGACACTTTGTGGACGAGTGAGTTTATTTTTTTTCACAAACTGTAAACCAATCAGCACTTTTCCTTCATCGGTGTACCTGAAACACCTCACCCCGTCCTCCCGGCATCCTCACCTTCATAGCTTAACCCGAACCTCTGATAATTGGAATTGGTTTATTGATCGATGTATTGATGACTTATTTGTTTTTTTTTCTCATGATGAATTCCCAGACAACCTTTCTGTGTGTTGTGTTTTATGTCACTGTGTACTGATAGAAAATCTAGATTGGAGCTGAAACTCTGACATTTTTTTATCTACCTACCATGCTTAATTTTAGTTTTTCTGTCTTTTATTATGCTTCTTTGCCTCTGATGTTTACAAGAATGTCTTTGTATTGTCTTGGTTTTTCTTTTGTCTTGTACCACAGTATAGCCATTGTCTTGGACTTTCCAACAGATGCTGTTTCAACTAAAAAAAAAAAAAATCAATATATGAAGCAAAATAAACAATAATTTGTACTGCTGTGTCTCTTATTTCCAGTGGCAGAGATGTGCAGATAGAGCTGGTAGAGGTACTACAATATGGAAGCTTGTGGTATCTGCAGTTAAATAGCATAGCAGGACAGAAACCACCCGTTTTCGAAGTAAAGCAACAGAGAGTCAAGTCTGAAAGCAAACCTGTTGAGCAGCAGCAGTGAAAACAGTTCATTCACAACAGGTTCAACCTGAGTTAACTGTTCCTCTCTGTACTGGTTAGACCACACTGGGCGTTGACACACACTCCACCCACTAAGAAGACAAGGAAATGTTCATTATTATCGGATACTTGGTGAGGTAGGATCAAAGATCTAAATGAAAAAAACACACAAGCAATCATGAGACTCACTAGAAAATGTCTCAGTTATGCACCATCTATTTGATATTAACACATGCGGACACATCTGTTAAGTTCACAGAAATCAGTGTGCCATGCATAGACAGTAAAGATGAGCTTTAAAGTGTGTGAAAACGTCCGTTTTGTGGTTTCTGCTTCCCACCAGAGCTATTAAACTGATACCTACCCCATTATTTTACAAATTATTATTTGACTGGTTTTGATACTGGAACAGAAGCATTGACAGTAGCAGAATAGTTACAACAACAGACATTCAACCTATAAGCGTGCACCGCTGCAAAGTGCGTAAGAAAGTAAACGTGTTAGATGTTGACAGTTTTGTCACATTCACTAATCTAATCTCTGTTTACATAATGCTCAGTGACCTTGTGGTTCCTTGGAGAGCTCTGTGTTCAGTATAGTGTGGAGCATCCACTGGAAATTGAAAGGCGCCTCAATGGAAATTTTCATTTCTGTTCTTTGCCTTCAGGAGTTGAGCATTTTTAACATTAAACTGAAACACTTATTAAAAATGAACCAGTCATACAGACATGAATAAGCTGCTGTTTTGCTATGATGTTATATTATACTGCAGTCTCTGTTTTTGTTGTGTTTGATTTTTGTGTTTTAATGTGTGTTTAATGTGTGTTTTAAAGGCCCCAACTAGGGTCATTGCAGATTAGCTCAGGCTATAAACGATGCGGTGTGTTGGCTGCGAGAATAAACTAAATAAATGACACTGTGAGAAGATATTTAAAGGAAAGTGATAACAAGAAAAGGCAACTTAAACGTTCACTTAAAGACTGGTCAAAGGTTTCACGACTGCACGTGAACGTCACACGGAGGCACCTGAGCTAAAGGTGTGTGCCGCCTCCTTCCTTCCCGCCGCGCCCCTTCGCTCACACACAGGAAGGAAAGCCGGAGTTTCCCGGAGTGAACCCCAGCGGCAGGCAGTGAATGAAGTGCTCCTGTCACAGTTAGAGAAGAAGTTTTCTATCTCGTATGCAGCATTTTGTACGGACACGACCGACATGCTGATTAAAGAGTTGTGAGTATCTGAACTTTGTCGCCTTCCACCCGACAAAGGAGCGAGCCGGGACGCGTCTGTGTTGAAATATGGACCATTACAGCAGGATGAATGTATTTGTTTGCTCTTTGAAGTCAGCTGAGCTTTTAGCAGTTTAAAGTGTTACTGAGTCGTTAGCAGGATGACAGAAATAAAGGACCACTCAGGAAATGATTTAGTCACAGGGTGTAAAGTTTCAAACGGCAGAACTCCGGACACCGTCAAACTTTAGGTTAGGCTAGGCGCTGTCAGCAGAGGTAAATCCACTGCTGACATCACACTTCAGATTAGTAGGAAGGAGTACCGCGAGAAAACTCGAAAAGTTTAACTTTCTTTGACTTAGAGTTTATTACAGTATGTAATATAAACCGAAGTGTAACATTTCAACGAGATGTTGTAAATGTAAAATATAGTAATTCATACTTGCTTAGCCTCGAACTTGTCAGGAAAACCATAAGAATTGGGGAGGAGTTTGAGAACGTTTAACAAGATCAGGAGCTCATAATGCCAGTTTATCACATGTGCCTCAAATGGGAAGAATCAGCTGCCGGGTGCTTTTACCGCGATAGTGTCATGTGCCAATCATGGCTGGCTGACACCTCTGACATGGCTGTCATTTGACCACAGTGCAAAGTACAATAAGAGGCTCAGGCGTTAAAGAGGATTGCCCAGTGCTGCTTTTTCTTTCAGTTTATGGTCACAGAAACGTAACCTCATGTTCTGTCACCTTCATGCCTGCAAATACTCAGGCTAAAGCAGGTGGGGATTGTGTTATGACATAGGAGAGGAGGCTACGCACGCAGAGCACATGCGCACACACGTAGAGTTTCCTCTAAAAGCGTCTGCATTGTTTGTTTGGGTTCTGCAGCGGTCTTGATTAAAGCTTCATAATTTCCGCTTCCTCATTTCTAGGTTCCTGTGGTTGCAGAGAACTGACTGCCGTGTTACTTCCTAGTGATAATGATTCATTCCTATAAATCATGATGTTGTTGTGCAGGGTCTGAACAAGCTGGAGCCTCTGGAAGAGGGAGCATTGTATGTGATATTTGCTATCTTTATGGCTGCGCCTCCAGGTTCTGGGTACTCTGGAAATTATATCAGTTCCGTAGCTCCCAGTTAAAGGAACGTGCCACAAGTATTCCAGTAAGCCGCTCCTAAAGGTGTAGAAATAGCCAACACCACCCAAAAAAAACCAACAAAAAAAACCAAATTGGTGGACAAAGACTGTATAGAAAAGATGGGTGTAGCCAACATGATGACATCAGAGGTGTGGCACTTGAAGAATCTAACACTGATTCTATAGGAGAGTTCACCAAATATTGTGGTAGAAGGTAACTTCTATGAATTTATTTATTAAAACCTCTATTTTAGGGCAAACTCAGCAAATGTAAAATTATTATTTTTTGTTTATTTTATTTTCACTTACTGAATACGGGACAGAGCAAATGTAAATTAAAAAATAATTACAATAATTAAATATTGTCCTGGTTGCTGTTGAATTAAAGTAATTTAGATAATAATACAACAAAAACTAAAATGCATCCAACAAGATAAATGCACATAATTTGTATTGATTATTAAAATGTTTAACTGACAGCCTGTTTGTGGATACATGCTATCGTTAACAAGTAGCTCATCACTAAAGCCTCTAATGCTGGCCACTTGCTGACAGTGGCTGCAGGCAAAGCAAGAACAATTGGTATAGAAACCAAAGGGGACGTCCCAATGGTAATTTCCATCTTTTATATCCAGTCTCTGGAATCTGTGCAAAATGCAGACACCAATATTCACTAATTAGTGCAGTACCAGACTATTAAAAATACTGAAGCAAACCAGAGTAATAGTATTTATCAGGTCATTATGTGCTCCAAAAAGCATCAGAAACACGGTCAAGAGGTCCAGTCCGTTCTCAGAAGATATCCTGACCACAAACGCACTGAGGCGAGGCCTGGGTGCAGTGACCTGCCAGAGCTGCTGTTGTTGGCGGATCTGCCAAAGTGACACTAATTCCCATCTTAACCAAATTCAAGTGGTAAAGTGTTATGAAGAGCAGATGAGCATTGAGGCTAAAGCTGCTTCTTCTAGCAGTTGGTAAATGCGCTGATTTCATCTCTGCAACTTTACATGGAAGTTTGTGGAATCTGCATTTATTAGAGGAACTTTTGGTCCTCTTCCTGCCTCAATATTCAGCCGTGGATGTTGCCACCTAGTCTGGAAGCAGTTTTTGATCAGTTCATCAATAAGCTGGCATCATGTGAATGGGCAGCTGGTGTTAGATGTAAAATGATTTGCAGATTTGGGCAGAGGTTTCTGACTGCGATGTGTTCTTTCTCTTACAGCCGAGTTGTTCTGCCTGTTTCAGTGGAGGAGGTAAGGACTTACTCATTTACTTTAATACCATCAGTGATGGACACTGTAACCATCGGCATCTTCCACTTGCTGGCTCCTTATACCCTTGTCATTGATTCACACAGTTAGTGCATTATTTCTTTCTTTTTGAAATGGCTATTTTAAGCAACATTTGACAGCTCTGTGAAACTGTTTTATGCCCTTCACCGATTCACTACTGTCTCTTTTCTCTAGTGACGGTTGTCATTGCTGTGACAGTACCTAGTCTTCATTTTTCCCAGATAAAGTACTTTTACAAATTTCAAGCCTGTTGATCAGCAAATTTTATTTAGTAATGCATGGACTTTATTAAATCTAAGCGGTTTCACTAGCATATTGTGCTCTTGTAGTTGGTCTGTACTACATGCCAGGTCCAGGATTCATTAAGCTGTGTTTAATTTGCCTTAGCAGCGGATGGCCCCAAACCTTCAAGAGAGCAGCTTCTGTAACTTTAGACATTTACCTTACAGATTTTCACGTTATGAAACCTTTATTTCCCTGGCTCATTCTACCTCTTAATCCTCACGTTCCATACAACAGTTTTTCTTTTGCTTTACAGAGAGCAGAAGCCAGTATTTCACTAAGCAACATAATCACAGCTATGCAACCGGCTTGCTCGGTGATCCGATTCAGTGTGAAAGTTTGCAGGTTTAATCCTCAATTGCCTTGGTTGAGGTGTGACTGTGTGTGACTGTATGGGGAGGGGGCTGCTCTATTTTGTGTAGTTCATTTATTTGTGCAGTCAATGTGAGACAGCTGTAGTGTTTAGAAGTAATGTTGGGTGGGTTACAGGTTAGAAACTACAGTTGTGCAGTGGGAATACTAATTAATATTTCCTCTTTTTTGTTGTCTATGTTTAATATAAACATAAACGGTAATTAATTATATTGAGTTGAAATGCTGGCAGGTATAGTTTGACAATTTGTGATTGGTAATCTCTATTTCCTTTTTTTTTTTTTTTTTTTTTTTTTTTTTTAAAAAGCTGAAAGACCAGTGGCGTGTCGTTTCACTCCACAGTGCAAGGTGTGATTGTAACATTCAGGGATATAAAACAAAAACCCAATCTCCTCCACTGTGTCTACTCCGAGTCTCAGGGAAGCAGATTTGCAAGTTGTGAGGGGTGTGAGTGAAGACTGTTGGTGTGGCAACACAACAGAACAGCTCTGCACTGATGTGCTGAACCTGGAGTAG